CTCTTACACCAAGATGTACCGCATACTGTGAAGCAATATGAACGATTTCAGCTCTGATGTATTCAAATCCTAATTTGGACATCATAAATATGTGATCTACAAATTTTTTTTCTTCGCTCTCGGACATGAGTGGTGGGGGCCCTGAGCCTGTGCATTCTGGATTATTGACGGCTCCACTCAGTCGATGTCGCAGCGTGGCTTCTGGTACTTTATACTTGATGGATGCCTGGTTTATATTGAGCTCTCCGTTCTTAACTGATTTGTAGGCAGTGGATAGAGCTTCTGGAGAGTACTGGCGGTACTTGACCTTTTCTGAGCGTACATGTTGAGGCTTCTGTTGGGAAAATATAAAGTCAGTAGTATTTATAAACTTATAAACAACATATATTTACAAATGTATATATCCCTTCCAAAACTCATCTATACCCTACAGCTGATCTATTCGGAGTACACTTCAGAATATGAAACAACAGAATCCATGCATCGACGTGTTATTAGCTGCACACCAACTTTCATTCCATTTTATATTATAAGAACCTGCTGCCACCAATACATTATTTCATATTATAAGAGTTACAGCGCTTTTGATATGTGGATGCCTTGCGGTTAAGAAGCTACTGAACAAAAACTGTCGGTTTATTCCATGGTCATTAGTTTTCAGGTTACTGTAGATCATCAATCAGGAAAGAGAATCAACAGAACATGCGACAGTATCCGATGGTTGAAAAAAAAACTACTTATTAAGTCTTTATTCCTGAAAACAGATACATAAAGACATAGTTGGAATCGCAAGACTTGAAAATGTGCATACCAAGAAAGCAATGCAACTGATCGGAGTTGACAAGTATCGGACATCATTGACGATGTGATTTTTAGGAAATGAAATAACCAGAAGATTGTTTACCTTTTTGTGCCGCATGCTGTAGGTTTGTGATCGACACACGAGCTTCAAAGGGTTCAAAAGCATCGGGCTGGTGCGCAGAATCCACGGAAGTCGCTTTCGTCAAAACCGGAGATGCCGTCAAAACAGGGCATTCTGGTATAAAAACTGGGACCGCAGTAAATACTACTTGAACATGAACTAACAAGCAGGACGCTCAAAATACATTTATTTCGAAAACATGAACTTGAGATATTTACCACAAATATGACGGTCGCAACACCACACCAAAATACAATGTACTTCGCCCGCTCAGGCAACATGCATCCAAACGACAATAATCTTTATGGGAATCAAACAGTCACGTGATTCAGATCGCTGTTACTCGCGGAGATGGTTTGGCGGGAAAATACATAATTAACAAGCGACAATTAAATAAGCCGAAGGGGGTAACTTATATATATATATATATAAAAGGATCGTAGTATATTCGGAACAATGTGTTTGGTATATGGAATTTCTCTTCACATGTCCTTAAAAATAGAAACTTAGAAACATGTACAAGCATGTAGATCTTCGAGTCTAACATAGTCGTGTCTTAATTCTCAGTTTCTCTCTCTCTCTCTTTGAATATATAAGCGTTTAAAACACTCATTTTGAAACAAGTTTTTTTCTGATTCATATTTATTTATTTTCAGGTCTGTATGATATATTACAAACCAACGTAAACTGAACGAGTGCTTCTTCCGTGGCAAAATGTAGTCGATAACACGGGTCTAAGGGACACAACTCTTACACCATAATTTGATACTTGAGGATTAAATCTCAGTTTGAGTTTCATCGTCACTTTAAAAATATATATGATTATTTTAATATAATCTATGATAACTTATGAAAATAACATAAGCTGATACATCAAAGTCTGTACTAGAATCAAGTTTCAAATACAAGATAAGCTATTATTTCTTTTCCATTTTGAGCAATTTTTATTTGTTTTTATACTCTCTCTCTCTCTCTCTCTCTCTCTCTCTCTCTCTCTCTCTCTCTCTCTCTCACAAATAATCCAACAAATAACAGAACTCTATCTGAAATATTTGAAATTTTTATTCTTCATTTACAGAAATTTCTTTTCTAAAATAGGTGGCAAAAATATTTATAAGTGTAACGCTGGTAAATTCTAGCTGCAATACATATAGCTCAGCTAGAGAGATCTTTATAATCAGCAGAACCAAGAACTAGAGGTACAAATCACTAATTCAGATCTAAGAAAATACTCTCTTACACAAAACTTCTAACGTAACAGAAATTATACACTAGACATGTAATTCAAAACATAACTAATACTGTATTTACAAATGTCTCCATGGGAGAGATCCTGTACAGAAGTTCTGTGTTGATTTTGAATTACAGGATCTCTTCCATGAGAACACTCCTTAAGATATATTTATACAAAAAAGGAAACAGCTTTTGAATATAAACATAAACTTTAGACTTACAAATGTGTAGCTTTAAATATTGAATTACTGCCCAGTTATGTATTAGATAAATACTTAGTCATTGTTCATTACTTAAGAACAAATTATTTTATTTGCAAGAAATTCCTCCACTCCTACCTCTAAATGAATGACTACAGTTACTGATGACTAATAGATTCTTTCCCTAGCTGGAGGATAGGACAGAGAAATTTCTACCCGAGGAGGAGATTCTTGATTGTCAGCCTCGGGTTAGACTTTCAGGAATTTCATACAAGGGTAAATTTCTTTTTTTTCTACCCTCCAGGTAGGGAATGGTCTTTTTTCTACCCCTCTTTCCTCTTAAAAACAAATGAGCAAATAAATATACATGTGACATAACCATCGGTATAGTCATTTGAGGCCTGGATAACAATTGTTAATGACGTTCATGACCTCAACTGACCCCGACATGTCATAAAAATGATGTCATTAACAATTACACAAATCCAAAATGTCACTTCCTGTGCACCCAGGATGTCTCGCCACAAGATAGAGAAATCTTACCCTCACTGGAAGTGTTGATATTTTTGTCCGGTGGGATAGAAAGTGTTTTGACTACAGCTTGATATATATCTACATCCATTATGTCATCCTCATTGTTGTAATAGGTGAGTCATAAGGTAACATATCACAAAAACATCACACTTCTACAGCAGAAGTCACTGTAATCATAAGTTAATGTTGATGTGTTTTCCACTAAATGACTTCATATTTTAAAACAATGCAGTAGAGACCATATACAAACGAAACTAATTATATAACATGAAACACTATATGTATATATAAGATATATATATATATCTTTTCCCTGACTATATGATATACTAAGATACAAACACATAAGCACCAAAACCTACACTGACAATAGAGACATATTGTATATATAACACAACTACAGGTAGTACCCAGGGTAGCGCTAACCATACATAGTGTGATGGACGGACAGACTCTTTAATCCTCAGAGAACTGTTTCATACAAATAAATATAGAATATCTGTTGTTTTGTTAAAATTTTAAAATTCAATTCCTGACATGGTAATCTATCATTTTCTTCTCTACAATATGTTCCCAGGAGTTATATATAAAAGTATCTGGTTTTTTTTTCACACAGAATGAAAGCAGACTTCCAACACTGAATGCAGTTCTCGAAGGACTAAAATAAATATTATACAAGCTAGACAGATATAATCCAGCCTCATTTTCGTATTTTATAAAATCACAATTATTTACACAAAGCATCACATGCCACGACATTTTCTATTTTTAATGAATGTAAATAAAATAAAACTGATACAGTTATATAAATCTTTTTAGCGTCCATTAATATCACAGACTGTTGAAGAACAAATCACAGATTATTTAACACAATTCACTCAATACTGAAAGTATAATGGACATCAGCAGTATTATGAATAAGACACTCAAAATGTTCTGAATATGATAAGCATAAAAATATTGAATAGTGTAAAAGTATCCAATTTACATAGATTAATTTTAACATCAGCAGTCTTAATTTTTTATGGAAAGACCTATTTCTTTGAGACAAGTTTGTTCATTATATTTTTAGTCTTCTACTCCTTCTTCTTTTCTATACTGAATCAGAATTTCTCAACACATTTATTAAGATAAAGTTTACCATCTACATAAAAATTATAAACATTATCACTAATACAAAACATTTGTCTAAGCCCGTTATTCAATGGAAATAAACCATTACAATGCATTATAAGAGGCGTTTCAAAATATTTAAAAAATATGAAATAAAAAATGAAAAAAAGAAATAAAAGCTACCCCTACTCCCCACCCCAAAAACCTTCAGCTTCTATAGAAATTGGAAAATAATGGCATAGTAGTACATGGATCTCTTTCTTACAATGATAGCTGGTGCAATGGTAGCCTTTACCTTAAACCATCTACCTGCCATAACATGCTATGATATGGAACCTAAACTCATCTGATCTTGTTGCTTACATATAACTTGGATAAATTTCCATCAAAAATAGAAAAGATTTCATGTTATAAATCATGACAGAAATTTGTAATTTACCACGTACAGTAAATGACATACTATTTAATATAATCATTTTAGATATAAAAAGCTTGAATCTACTAAGAACAATTACCTTTTGTTAATCCCACTTGCCTGAAAATTTGTTTTCAATCGTGGCAAGCTTTGAAATATCCCTAAGATTTCCCTGCTTTCAAACAAGAATTTAATCTCTTAAAAATTCTGTATGGCATTTTCAAAAAAAAAATTTTGAAAAAAGAAAGAAAATTGAAGCTACATTGTATACACCAGTTATCGGTTGTCAGATTTACTGAAACCACAACATTGACAAAAGGCAATTTGGAAAATTTAAAAGTACAAGATTTCATAGAATATCTTGTGTTAATAGAAAATAAGGCAAGAAATGTAGAAAGCAGAATTTTTCAGAATTAATCTTATCAAAACTTCAATTATTTACCTTTTATAAAGTTGATTCACAACTGTATCTAATCTTCATCTCAATTAAGCAGTTTTGAAGCCAATTTATACTCCAAGCTTTATCTATGTAGATACATTCAGCTGTATCACTAATTAGTCTAAATGTCTCTTTTTAATCAGTCTAACTGAAACTCTTGCTTCTTTTCAGCGATGATGTTGGCCTTTTCTTTCCTTTCTTTTTCTTCTTCTTTACCACTGTTCCTTCTGCTTGCTTTGCTTTCCTTTCTTCTGCCTTCTTCTGCATGTACATGATTTCATTCACTTTAGCTGTAAAAACAGAGAAACTCATCACATAATATTTATTATCAAGACAAGAGTTCCTGGGAACTGTATGTGTCGCCTGCATAAAGTGTCATGGTCACCCAGAAATCGAACTGGATGTGCCACAATCAACCATGAAGTTGTAATACCAAATTTCATTTCTATCACTCAAAGCATAAAGGGAAAACTGCGCAAAGCAATATTCAATATAAAAGGGACATATCACTGCCAAGAAAGCCGTGCATCGAACCTTATCTGTAATGGTCGACCATGAAGCCATTTCTCATATTTCATTTCAGAAACTCTAAGCAAAATCAAGAAAAGTACAAAAAAACCCCATATTTTTGAAGAATTTTCAAAGAGGCATAACTCTGCAAAGAAAGGTCATAGACAGCCAAGAATCAAAATTAATCTGTACCCTTCCAACAAGAAGCCATATACCAAATTTCATTTTGATAACTCTAAGTATAAGTGGAAAAAGTCCGGAAAACTTTTGTACGGACGCTGCCACCACTGCTGCGTGACGACGGACAAAGTGATCCCTAAGTGTCCGCCAGCTCTGCAGGCAACACAAAAACTACCCGTCAAGAGATACATATACAAGTAAATAATGTATGAACATACAGAAAATAGCCCTTATATAAAACAATGTATAAGATGTCATTGACATAGGCTTAAACACCATGTTCACCATGGTAGATAATAACTATAGATCTTACCCAGAGCTTTTTCTGCTGACTTGAGCTGCCTGTACTCATCTGGTAGCCATACTTTTGGGTGGCTCAGTAACCTGGAAATTATAACCAATATCAACACAACATAATAACATGGATACTGTTATTTATGGAGAATTTCTCAGATTATCTCAGAAAGACGAATTCCTTGCATAAAGTAGACACCATCACTATACCATGTTCAGTTGTAATTTATGTACCTAAACTTGTCCTATTTGCTTTGTACTCCGAATTGTCTAATCTTCTTTGTACTCAGAATTATCCTATATGCTTTGTACTCAGATTTGTTCTATTTGCTTTGTACTCATAATAATGTCATCAATGGTCTTAGTTACATCATCATATACTCTCCAGGCTCCAATATATGACAACTTGCAGAAACCCACAATGAGTATTAAAGAGACATGTCATTTCAGTACAATATTTAGGATCATCATCACAGACGGAAAACAGGATAAACACAAGTGCAGGACAACACTAACACATACACAAGTCATACATATATGTGTAAATCTATGGGTGTCATTATCTTGTTGGAAGGTTTATCAGATCTAGTTTGTGTATTTACCCAAGAGAATGTGACCTTGGCAGATTGGCCTTGATTTCATAGTAGGTGGTCTGTCCTGACGGAGGGTAGAGAGCTCTGAAAAATACAGAATACATTGCTTACTGTTATCAGCATAGCTGAATTAACTCAGTGATCTACACAAATATAAGACAAATAATACACAGGTTATGAATACTGTGAAATAATTCTGAAGGTCTGATCATACATTGTATCATAATCTCCAGCTATAGAAATATAAGCTTACCTCTCTAGTGTTTTTGCGCTAATATTAATTCCTTTGGCTGCCAGTTTTGCCTGCATCACTGTACATTCCTGGGCCTCCTCTGTCTCAGGGTACTGAAAGTGTAGCCAGATATGTTTACTTAATTATTCACAACATCGGTCGAATGTTAAATTATCTTGAGAAAACACTGAACAGATTTAACATAAATGATACCCTTGTTGTTGCATAAGTAAGTATTCTGTTATTGTATAAGTAGGCATTCTGCTGTTGTATAAGTAAGCATTCTGTTGTTGTATAAGTAAGCATTCTGTTGTTGTATAAGTAAGCATTCTGTTGTTGTATAAGTAGGTAGGTTTTGTAAGGTTTTAATGGTCTACATACATCACTATGGTTGATGATGTTGAGGTAGAGAGGTTTTGTGAGGTTATAATGGTTTACATACATCACTATGGTTGATGGTGTTGAGGTAGAGTGGTTATAATGGTTTACACACATCACTATGGTTGATGGTGTTGAGGTAGAGAGGTTTTGGAATAAGGTTTTAATGGTTTACATACATCACTATGGTTGATGGTGTTGAGGTAGAGAGGTTATGTGAGGTTATAATGGTTTACATACATCACTATGGTTGATGGTGTTGAGGTAGAGTGGTTATAATGGTTTACACACATCACTATGGTTGATGGTGTTGAGGTAGAGAGGTTTTGGAATAAGGTTTTAATGGTTTACATACATCACTATGGTTGATGGTGTTGAGGTAGAGAGGTTTGGTGTAGCGGATCTTTGGTTCCTTGTTTGCAGTTCTTCTCTTGACTGGAGCTGACTTTGCCCTTGTGTAGAATGATGACTTTGCTGTAATACGACAAAATGCATAAGTTTGCCATGAAAGTAATTTAAAGTTCATTAGTCTAAATATATATTTTATGCCAGACTTTCTTTCATCAATTACAATATTTCCTTGGTAATACTTATACTTTCTTGATCTTAAAGAAATGTTTGATAGATAAACCCTATATTTACTAGTTTATATCTGAGTTTGAGACAGGTTGGGATTTTTTCCCTCCTTTGATTAGGGAATGCTTTATACTCATGTGTCCGATATGTCTGCATTACGAGGTGTTTATGTATTTCGAAGGGTTCTGACTAATTATCCGTGATTTTATTTTTGTCTCGGTAACAGCCGATAGTTAGAACTCCTCTCTATATAAAAACACAAAAATTCAGCACTCGAGTATGGATCCTATGTCTTCTCAGCAAGGTGTCACAAGAATGTTTGACATCAGTGTGTATATATACATATATGTCAAGCATCTAAATGATTTGCCTCAGAGTACTACATGTAGTATTTCTGGGGACTGAAAAAAACATGAGCAAAGATCAGGAAACCGGAAAAAAAATTCTTTTCTGGCTTTACACTGTATATATCTTTAAAACAAAACAACAAGGCTCTTTCAACTGACACAGGTATTATGTAATCATCAGATATAGCTATCTCAATGTTACCGTTTGCTTTAGATGTTATTCCTGGTGTTTCTGTATGGCTGTGTCCGTGGGGACATCCATGCTTACAGCTAATTCCTGCACCATTTCTGGTAATAGACACGAAGCCAATATTAAATCAATGTGTTTTAGATTAAAACAAACTATTGCTTGTATTCAAAGCAGGATGACAACTCTTCCTAACACAGTGTAGGTGCATTTTCCAGTATTCAGGGTAAGACATACTGAACCAATTGGCTTCATTGAAAGTTGATGTATCAATAATTCAATATGTGATGTTTGACATCAGGAGATATTCACAAAGTCTTTAATTCAATGTTAAACACTTGGATATTGCAGTGTTAAAACACCAAGGAGCAAAATGATAACAACACGATACGTCATTGTCATCAAACTTTGGTCAAGGAGCGTAAAATCAGATAAAACAATGAATTTTTCTTGTCACATTGGTAAGACTAAAATTATTGTTGATATCCTCCATAATACACAGGTTTTTGGTTCTTGCATGGGGGAAATGCTTCTTGTTTAAAATATTTTCTGAAAGTGTGTCTATATACAGAAGGATTTGTCTACCATCTCATTAAAGAGTGTATGAAAGTAATGCTCTGTACCTTTCAGCAGCATTCAATTCAGAGACTAGAGTGGACTTTGGACTTGGTAGTGAAGCAGCATGGTTGATGCGACCTTTGGTGGATTTCTGTAGGAAAACATGGAACATAGTTATTTCATGAACAATTTGATATACAAAATATATCAACCACACCATATCTGTCTAAATATGTGTCTTCAAATAAACGATGTGAAATGTATTTCACCAGTGTCAACTGCAAGTTACCTGTCTAAATATCAACCATGTGACATCTGTCTTACAAAATATCTGTCTTATAGGTGTCAACCACACAATATCTATCTTATAGGTGTCAACCACGAAATATCTGTCTTATAGATATTAACCACACAATATCTGTCTTATAGATGTCAACAACACAATATCTGTCTTATAGATGTCAACTACACAATATCTGTCTTATAGATGTCAACAACACAATATCTGTCTTAAAGATGTTAACTACAAAATATCTGTCTTATAGATGTCAACAACACAATATCTGTCTTATAGGTGTCAACCACACAATATCTGTCTTATAGATGTTAACCACACAATATCTGTCTTATAGGTGTCAACCACACAATATCTGTCTTATAGATATCAACCACACAATATCTGTCTTATAGATGTCAACCACACAATATCTGTCTTATAGGTGTCAACTACACAATATCTGTCTTATAGATGTCAACAACACAATATCTGTCTTATGGATGTTAACTACAAAATATCTGTCTTATAGATGTCAACAACACAATATCTGTCTTATAGGTGTCAACCACACAATATCTGTCTTATAGATGTTAACAACACAATATCTGTCTTATAGGTGTCAACCACACAATATCTGTCTTATAGATATCAACCACAGAATATCTGTCTTATAGATGTCAACCACACAATATCTGTCTTACAGATGTCAATCACACAATATATGTCTTGTAGGTGTCAACCACACAATATCTGTCTTATAGATGTCAACCACACAATATCTGTCTTATAGGTATCAATCACACAATATCTGTCTTATAGATGTCAACCACACAATATCTGTCTTATAGGTATCAATCACACAATATCTGTCTTATAGGTGTCAACCACACAATATCTGTCTTATAGGTTTCAATCACACAATATCTGTCTTATAGGTATCAATAACACAATATATGTCTTATAGGTATCAATCACACAATATCTGTCTTATAGGTGTCAACCACACAATATCTGTCTTATAGATGTCAACCACACAATATCTGTCTTATAGGTGTCAACCACACAATATCTGTCTTATAGGTCTTATAGGTGTCAACCACAAGATATCTGTCTTATAGGTGACAACAACACAATATCTGTCTTATAGGTGTCAACAACACAATATCTGTCTTATAGGTGTCAACCACACAATATCTGTCTTATAGGTGTCAACTACACAATATCTGTCTTATAGATGTCAACCACACAATATCTGTCTTATAGGTGTCAACCACAAGATATCTGTCTTATAGGTGACAACTACACAATATCTGTCTTATAGGTGTCAACCACACAATATCTGTCTTATAGGTGTCAACAACACAATATCTGTCTTATAGGTGTCAACTACACAATATCTGTCTTATAGATGTTAACCACAAAATATCTGTGTTATAGGTGTCAACCACACAATATCTGTCTTATAGATGTTAACCACAAAATATCTGTCTTATAGGTGTCAAGCACACAATATCTGTCTTATAGATGTCAACAACACAATATCTGTCTTATAGATGTTAACCACAAAATATCTGTCTTATAGGTGTCAAGCACACAATATCTGTCTTATAGATGTCAACCACACAATATCTGTCTTATAGATGTCAACCACACAATATCTGTCTTATAGGTGTCAACCACACAATATCTGTCTTATAGGTGTCAACCACACAATATCTGTCTTATAGATGTCAACCACACAATATCTGTCTTATAGTTGTCAACCACACAATATCTGTCTTATAGGTGTCAACCACACAATATCTGTCTTATAGATGTTAACCACAAAATATCTGTCTTATAGGTGTCAACCACACAATATCTGTCTTATAGATGTCAACCACACAATATCTGTCTTATAGATGTCAACCACACAATATCTGTCTTATAGATGTCAACCACACAATATCTGTCTTATAGATGTCAACCATACACAATCTGTCTCACAGGTTTCAACTAAACAATACTTGTCTTATAGGTTTCAATCACACAATGATAGTCATATAAATATCAACAGAAGTCTAATGATACACATTACAAATAAATGGTAAGTACAACAAACAACTAGTTTCTAGCTTTAGATGTCATTTTTGTATCAGAGACATGGTACTTTTAAAAAAAAGCCATAGAAGGTAAGCAGGGCATTTGGTATTACTTACAGGGATAGGCACTGCTGGTGGTGCTGATTCTGTTTCCTTGACTACCGGTACCGGAGATGAGGGTGGTGATGGTGAGGAATCACCCATTGATTCGTTCATAACATCAGGTGTGAACACTGACGCTGGGCGTTTCAGGTGCTTTTCTATCATGTCATCGATTGCTTTCTCCTTCTGTGACCTCGGAGAGTTGACCTTTAACCCTGACCTTGCTGATGACATCTTTGGATCTGGTCTGGCTGATGTCAGGACAGTAGGTGATTTAGGAATTTTACATTTAGGTGACTTTGGAGATTTTGGTGAGGTGAGGTTATTTGAGATGGCAGATGAGGGTCGAACTAAATGTTTGTTCATGAGTCTTTGAATTTCTATCTGTCTGTCGGTGAGGCCCGTCACCTCAGCACTGGGTGTATTCTCCTCTTGTGATGCTGATTTAGTTACTGCATCCTCCACTGGATCGGAATTACACTTCTCACCACTAGAGGGAGCTTTACCTGGTCTAGATTGTGCTGAGGTTGGTCGTCTTGTAACCTGAATCCCAACAATACAGTTTGAACTTCCAGAAAAAATTGTTATATCTATCCTGACAGGTCCAGATGTGACACCAGAACAGGATATTTGATTACACTGTGACACAAAAATGTGTTTTCAGTACAAACTGCATCCAAATGTAACATGCATCAGGGAGTGTGGTTCATGGATATAGGAATTTCAGCAGTAAAGTCCAATAGCTGGTTTTTGTGGCTGTGTGGTGGAATGTTGTGCCCATCAAAAAATGTTGAAAATAAGCAATGTTGAGCATGGCCAGTGCCTGGATGGGTGACATCCGTTGTATCCCGATACATGTTACATTTGGTGGCAACGATGGGATTATCGTGAAGTATTGTAATCAGAATGGTATAATGTAAACAGCTTAACTATACCATTTTATTTTCTTTATATATGGAATACACTATTTAGACTAAATTATACATTAAATACATCACATAGACACATTTTTAAAACTAAATTATATATACATCATTTATACTTACTTATACACAGAATACAAAATTTCTTAACCATTTAAGATTAAACCATTACCTTCCGACTGTTAGTTTGATTTGAAGCTTGCTCTGGTGCCATTGCAACAAATCCCAGCCTTGACCCTGGACGTTCATGGTCATCTGACTCAGCTGGGCGAGCCACAGGAGGCTTATGCTGCACCTATTGGACAGATTTATAAGGACATGTGTAGGACTAGTATAACAAGTAGGACTGTAGGACACATGTGTCGTTGTAACAATAGAGACATAGGTTAGCTGCCATATATCTATTTGTGGATACTGTGATTTATATAGCACCAATTTAGGTAAAAAAAATTTTTTTTAAAAATTATAATATTAATAATTTTACTGGTATATATAAGATTAATGTAAAACAGCATTTTTATAATATCATTAAATCATCATTGCCTTCTTACAATACAAGATCATAAAGCACTACACCAGCTATTAACCTATTCTGAGAAACCATGGACACCTATGTTATATCTGTGTCTACAATATACAATGATAAGGGAAAGCAAAACGCATTTGGCCTGTGATCATTTCAAATTTTTGCTGAATTGAAGAATCATTATATAACAAAAATAAAATAATAATGTTTTGGAATATTTCTTAGTTAAATTTTTGTTGTTTTTCATTTATTTTTGTAACATACTGAGATTTTGTTCCATAAAAGAATATGGTAGGGCCATGTGTTGGTCAGTGCAACCATGTGTTTATTGAAGATGATCAAATTAATGTCAACAAAGTTGCTTTTATTCAGATGCAGACTTAGCGCTAATTGTGGTTATGGTCATTTGAAGGCTATGACTGTTCTACTGACTATCAAGAGGCACAAGTTTCCATATTGCCATATAGCATTTGACCTTGGTGTGCATGGACACCAAGTTTCAAGGTCATGTAGGAAACATTGGCTGTTATGGAAAGATAGAGGCTGTATTCATTAAAATGAGACATGATTGGCTGGTTTGTGTTGTACTGGTTTTTGAATCATTATTTTTTAATGAGGACATCTGATAACTTACCTTAGCACTAGGTGGTCGGACGGCTTTAGCTTTTTCTCTGTTGGTATCTAATTGATGAGCCACCATTTGTTTCTCATTGATACGAAGGAGCTGTGAATCTAACACACTTTTCACCGCAGCACTTTCCTTCGGGTCCTTTTCTCCAGACTCAGTTACCATTGTTGTAGATAGTCCAGATGCATTATCTTTCAGTTTTTCAAACATCTTATCTACGACACTTGATCGACTAATGGCCGACTGTCTGGATATTTCGTAGTAGTTTTTGGTTGGTTCAGATGTACATTTGGTTGGAGAGCCTGGACGTAGTAATTCTGGTGTGATTTCAACATCCTCATCAGATTCTACACTACTTTCATCTTCTGATGCTGAAAGCTGTTGAACCAGGGTGACAACATCTTTTTCTCGTAGCTTTTTCTGTACCTTTTTCATCCTTCTTTCCTCTTCTCCATAATCAACAATGATTTGCGTGATTGGTTTATCAAGCGATTTTCCTACTGGTTTACTACTAGGTCTTACTGTGGCAGAACTTGGGCGTTGTCTGTCCTTTGGTCTCTCTTTATCTGTCTTTTTAATCACCGCTGATGACGGCCTTTGGTTTTTCCTTACCACTGTAATTTGAGGCACATAGTTTTGTGTATTTTCTTCAGAATCGTCCAGAAATCCTACCGTGGGTTTATTCACAACACTTTTTACAGACAAAGCTGCCTTAAGTCTATGTGCCTCATCCTCACTGACAGCACTTTTGCCCCCTGACCTTTGACCTTCCTGTTTATGGTGACCTCTGGGTGACAAACTTCCTACCTTATGCCCAGCATTCCTGGGTGTAATGTCTATAGTCACATTCCTTTCCTCACTGAACTTGACAGCAAGTTTTTCCACTGGTTTAACAGGCTCTTCCTCATCAGTCCATGGTTCATCACTGTCAGTAGATGATTCTATTCTGCTGTGAAAGGAAAATGAGTCCTCATCTTCCTCTAATGGGTCATCAGTTTTATCACATGTGTCCACAAACTCACCAGATCTATTACCTTCTGTAACATCATGGACAAAATCCTCTTCCCCTGGATGTTTGTTTGTAGAATATTTTTCAGCTTTTTCCAATAATCTGTAAAATAAATAGATACATAGGACTAATCTCTCACTGATATACAATGTCTATATGATTTTCATCTCACTCTCACTTTAAAAAAAAAGAAGACATTTTAAAGACATTCATCACAACGTTCTTTTTTTTCAATAAAAGCTTGTGACATTTCCACAACAATGAAATAACACTGATAAATGAAGACAACATTAGATATGTATGTTAACCTACAAACCTGTCTGTGTTTACAGTACTTCACTGTCTTCTCTCCGTCTTTAACCTACAAACCTGTCTGTGTTTACAGTACTTCACTGTCTTCTCTCCCTCTATAACCTACAAACCTGTCTGTGTTTACAGTACTTCACTGTCTTCTCTCCCTCTATAACCTACAAACCTGTCTGTGTTTACAGTACTTCACTGTCTTCTCTCCGTCTTTAACCTACAAACCTGTCTGTGTTTACAGTACTTCACTGTCTTCTCTCCCTCTATAACCTACAAACCTGTCTGTGTTTACAGTACTTCACTGTCTTCTCTCCCTCTATAACCTACAAACCTGTCTGTGTTTACAGTACTTCACTGTCTTCTCTCCCTCTATAACCTACAAATCTGTCTGTGTTTACAGTACTTCACTGTCTTCTCTCCCTCTATAACCTACAAACCTGTCTGTGTTTACAGTACTTCACTGCCTTCTCTCCCTCTATAACCTACAAACCTGTCTGTGTTTACAGTACTTCACTGCCTTCTCTCCCTCTATAACCTACAAACCTGTCTGTGTTTACAGTACTTCACTGCCTTCTCTCCGTCTTTAACCTACAAACCTGTCTGTGTCTAGTTCACTGTCTTCTCTCCCTCTATAACCTACAAACCTGTCTGTGTTTACAGTACTTCACTGCCTTCTCTCCCTCTATAACCTACAAACCTGTCTGTGTTTACAGTACTTCACTGCCTTCTCTCCCTCTATAACCTACAAACCTGTCTGTGTTTACAGTACTTCACTGTCTTCTCTCCGTCTTTAACCTTCAAACCTGTCTGTGTCTAGTTCACTGTCTTCTCTCCTTCTTTAATCTACAAACCTGTCTGTGTCTAGTTCACTGTCTTCTCTCCTTCTTTAATCTACAAACTTGTCTGTGTCTGGTTCACTGTCTTCTCTCCTTCTTTAATCTACAAACCTGTCTGTGTCTAGTTCACTGTCTTCTCTCCTTCTTTAACCTACACACCTGTCTGTGTCTAGTTCACTGTCTTCTCTCCTTCTTTAATCTACAAACCTGTCTGTGTCTAGTTCACTGTCTTCTCTCCTTCTTTAATCTACAAACCTGTCTGTGTCTAGTTCACTGTCTTCTCTCCTTCTTTAATCTACAAACCTGTCTGTCTAGTTCACTGTCTTCTCTCCTTCTTTAATCTACAAACCTGTCTGTGTCTAGTTCACTGTCTTCTCTCCTTCTTTAACCTACAAACCTGTCTGTGTCTAGTTCACTGTCTTCTCTCCTTCTTTAATCTACAAACTTGTCTGTCTAGTTCACTGTCTTATCTCCCTCTATAACCTACAAACCTGTCTGTGTTTACAGTACTTCACTGCCTTCTCTCCCTCTATAACCTACAAACCTGTCTGTGTTTACAGTACTTCACTGCCTTCTCTCCCTCTATAACCTACAAACCTGTCTGTGTTTACAGTACTTCACTGCCTTCTCTCCCTCTATAACCTACAAACCTGTCTGTGTTTACAGTACTTCACTGTCTTCTCTCCCTCTATAACCTACAAACCTGTCTGTGTTTACAGTACTTCACTGCCTTCTCTCCGTCTTTAACCTACAAACCTGTCTGTGTCTAGTTCACTGTCTTCTCTCCTTCTTTAATCTACAAACCTGTCTGTGTCTAGTTCACTGTCTTCTCTCCGTCTTTAACCTACAAACCTGTCTGTGTCTAGTTCACTGTCTTCTCTCCTTCTTTAATCTACAAACCTGTCTGTGTCTAGTTCACTGTCTTCTCTCCTTCTTTAATCTACAAACCTGTCTGTCTAGTTCACTGTCTTCTCTCCGTCTTTAATCTACAAACTTGTCTGTGTCTGGTTCACTGTCTTCTCTCCTTCTTTAACCTACAAACCTGTCTGTGTCTAGTTCACTGTCTTCTCTCCTTCTTTAATCTACAAACTTGTCTGTGTCTGTTCACTGTCTTCTCTCCTTCTTTAACCTACAAACCTGTCTGTGTCTAGTTCACTGTCTTCTCTCCTTCTTTAATCTACAAACTTGTCTGTGTCTAGTTCACTGTCTTCTCTCTCTTTAACCTACAAACCTGTCTGTGTCTAACTGTCTTCTCTCCTTCTTTACACAAACCTGTCTGTCTAGTTCACTGTCTTCTCTCCCTCTATAACCTACAAACCTGTCTGTGTTTACAGTACTTCACTGTCTTCTCTCCCTCTATAACCTACAAACCTGTCTGTGTTTACAGTACTTCACTGCCTTCTCTCCCTCTATAACCTACAAACCTGTCTGTGTTTACAGTACTTCACTGTCTTCTCTCCCTCTATAACCTACAAACCTGTCTGTGTTTACAGTACTTCACTGTCTTCTCTCCCTCTATAACCTACAAACCTGTCTGTGTTTACAGTACTTCACTGTCTTCTCTCCCTCTATAACCTACAAACCTGTCTGTGTTTACAGTACTTCACTGTCTTCTCTCCCTCTATAACCTACAAACCTGTCTGTGTTTACAGTACTTCACTGTCTTCTCTCCCTCTATAACCTACAAACCTGTCTGTGTTTACAGTACTTCACTGTCTTCTCTCCCTCTATAACCTACAAACCTGTCTGTGTTTACAGTACTTCACTGTCTTCTCTCCCTCTATAACCTACAAACCTGTCTGTGTTTACAGTACTTCACTGTCTTCTCTCCCTCTATAACCTACAAACCTGTCTGTGTTTACAGTACTTCACTGTCTTCTCTCCGTCTATAACTTACAAACCTGTCTGTGTTTACAGTACTTCACTGTCTTCTCTCCCTCTATAACCTACAAACCTGTCTGTGTTTACAGTACTTCACTGTCTTCTCTCCCTCTATAACCTACAAACTTGTCTGTCTATAGAATTCCGCTCTCTCCATCAATAACCTAAAATCCAGTCACTCTAGTTAAACAACTTCTCTCCCTCTATAACCTACAAACCTGTCTGTGTTTACAGTACTTCACTGTCTTCTCTCCCTCTATAACCTACAAACTTGTCTGTCTAGATCATTGCCCTCTCTCCCTCTATAACCTACAATCCTGTCTGTCTAGTTCACCATCTTCTTTCCTTCTTTAACCTACAAACCTGTCTGTGTTTGCAGTACTTCACTGTCTTCTCTCCCTGTCTCTCCTTAACCCTACAAACCTGTCTGTGTTTACAGTACTTCACTGTCTTCTCTCCCTCTATAACCTACAAACTTGTCTGTCTAGATCATTGCCCTCTCTCCCTCTATAACCTACAATCCTGTCTGTCTAGTTCACCATCTTCTTTCCCTCTATAACCTACAAACCTGTCTGTGTTTACAGTACTTCACTGTCTTCTCTCCCTCTATAACCTACAAACCTGTCTGTGTCTAGTTCACTGTCTTCTCTCCCTCTATAACCTACAAACCTGTTTGTCTAGTTCATTGCCATCTCTCCTTCTTTAACCTTCAAACCTGCCTGTCTAGTTCACTGCCCTCTCTCCTTTTTTAACCTACAAACCTGTCTGTGTTTACAATACTTCAATGTCTTCTCTCCCTGTATAACCTACAAACCTGTCTGTGTTTACAGTACTTTAATGTCTTCTCTCCTTCATTAACCTACACACCTGTCTGTGTCTAATTCACTGTCCTCTGCACTGTCCTCCTCATTCATGGTTGGAATATCCAGATTAAGATGGAGAGATTCAGGTGTAGGACGGCGCAAAAGTTCTACTGGGTGGGATGCCTCAGATTTTGTCTTTGTGTATTTCAGTTTCACTGTGTCATCTTCAACACTAAACAAAACAAAAGTAAAAGGAGAATTGTAATTTGTTTGAATATGAGTGATATAAATGAATAACTACTGAAAACTTTGAAAGATTGATGAAAGACTGGCGTAAATTGTCCCAATACTCAGTGTTACACATTCGTGACCTATGACTCAGTGTTATACATCTTTGTCCTAGCACTCACTGTTACACATCTTGTAAGTTATTGGCTACTGATAATAACAATCATTTGATGCTCTACCACTATGTAACCATTAGTTCAAAGATTTCAATGGTCTATTGATAGATACATCAGTAGAACTCATATTTTGTTGGATTATGTATTTTAGCGATGGCATGTTTAATTTGATTTTATCCCTTGTTATAATAACAAATTTCCGATATGGAAATTTAAATAATGAACAAGCCCCGCTATCTAAACTTCCTCTTGGTGTAAATATGTAGTTTGTAAAGACGTTATAAAACATGTTGTCACAAATTTAGAAAGTTTCACTAATATTCAATCAGTTTCAATTTATTGTACATATATAAAATTCACAGCAAAAATATTTACATATATGAAATTCAAGTTTATTGGCTAATTTTAACAATAATAAATAAGTTTAGTCTAGCACATTGAAAAGATAGCATTACCTTTCTCCTTCATTGATATTTGGCATTTCAACGTCAATATCTAGACGAGGAACAGGGGTCCCTTGGGGTGGAGGAGGGGGTGTGTCTGGCACTGAATAAGGAGCATGAGCAATGCCTACAACACAAATGATGTCAACTGATTACACAAAGGAAAGCTGAACAAATGATGAGGTTTGTTAAAATGGTTCCACTATCATTGTCACAAAGTTTTGTTAAAAATATCCTAAAGCAACTAAAATATTTAGAAGGAACCAGATGTTACAAACTTTCAGATATCATGTAGACACAACAAACTGTACTAACCTTGCTCTGACTGGGAGTCAGGGTACTTCATCCCCACCGGCGGCCCCGCCCAGCCTGTGGAAACGGATTGGTAAGGCGTCTGTTTCACTGGTCTTCCCACAGAATCATACTTAGCCCCCATCACTATGTGAAGAAATATTGAATTATAAATATCCTGACATGTCAAAATACATTCTGTGTAGATCTACATTTAATGTGTATTAACTAACATCGAAATAACGTGGAAAGCAGCCACATGTTTTATTGGTGTACATGTTAAAAGTTCAAGTTAAACAAGTTATCGACTGACTGATACGGCATTTCAAGAACACTTGGAAAACTAGCTGTTTAAACCAAATCTATAAAATAAACAAGCAGTATATAGAAAAAGTAGAAACAAACAAAACTCCCTACATATACAATTAATGTGTCGTATTACTGACCAGATATTTTAGGGGGAGGTCGAGGGGGAAGTGAACCCTCCTTGGCACTCTCTGGACGTGGCTTTTTCCCACTGGGTGGGCGGTACCTTCTGGATGGCGCCTTGGCACTCTCTGGCCGATGTGGACGCCCATCATGCTTTGCTGCTTGTTTGACGAGGTCAGGAATTGACCCATTACTTCCCCTGTAAAAGACAAAGATTTAATCCTTCTGCCACTGATTATTGATCTCGGGAATCTGCTGAGATTAATTTCTGGTTTTAGTTTCTACCTTATTTGAATGTAATCCATCGGTAATTTTCCTCTCAAACTCAATCAACTTGTTGAAACTGATGTTGTGTGATAGTTCAATCCTTATGAATCAGAGCCTGTTTCATATATTTTTTCCCTGTTATCACTCCACCCATGCCTGTTGTTGGTAACTTTGAAGGTTTAACCATTCTACCTATGAAGATCACTGTTACGCTGTTTTGATGTAGGTATTATGAACATTTATCATTTCTGTTTAGAAACACCAATACATAGATAATAAATCAGGTTTTCTCTGATGTATTCACCTACAAGCAACAATAGGAGATTATTTATGATAGAACTTAATAATTAAAACTGTCTTCAAACACTTCACAATAAAATCAATACTTTACTATGAATAATTATAGCACCTGAAAGTTAAAACGGCATGTCAGCATGCACCACACAGCCAATCATGTATTGTAGTATCTTAAGATAATTGTCAACATTACCATTTCGTGACAACCTACACTATATATTCTTCACTGGGGTTCAAACATTCAACTTCCAGGTCATCGAGTTGCTATGGTAACTGATAAATAAGCAGTATTTATGCTTTAATCTTTATGTAATCATTTTGACATTTGCATCCAATTAAAAAAACCTTTTTTGTGACTTTGGATCCTTTTCACGTCCCTTCGAGATGTATACTTATTTCTGGTTTTTATGGATCTGAGACTGTTTGGTGAAGTATAAATTTGTCCTATTTCATATGAAAACAAATCAACCAATGACATGGTGACGTTTTGTAAATTCAAACTAACTTTTGACAATGCAATATTGACCTTTGATATCCAACATCTACAACATCCATATTTGACCTGTTGACCTTGTGGAATAACAGATGCAACTTAATTTGCTTTCCGAATAATTCTTGACCATAGTAACAATATTGTGACCTACTCCTCCTGGAGGTCAAATATGTACTGGACAGGAAAATGAGCAATTAATTCTGACAGTGGAGATAGCATCTTTTCTTTAACAGGGTTGAATGAATGTTTACAATTATTCCGGAAAAACTTACCAAGCAGTTTTTTGAGAAGATAGTGTGGATAATGGCGGGTTAGTGGACAAGTTGGTGAAGCTCTGACTCCGTTTGTTGGCATTGCTAAGATTATTTCCCTTGAGCTCTTTTGGGTCCACCAACCCAACATTGTAGACATTTGGCTTGACATGTTCCAGTTGGGCAAGCGATGCAAACGTAGAGCTCAGCCATTTCTACCAAAGGCAAAAGATAAAAATATCATTATATGAACAGGTAGCATCAGAACATAATATTATCTTGTAAACTAATCACAGTTTTTTTCAATCTTTGTAAACTGACAGTACCATTAAAATACTATCCTTTTACTCCAAATCAGTGAAGGTGTGTAGAACAAAATGATGCAAGAATTTTGAAAACAAACAGACAAACAAACAAACAAAAACAGCATGTTTTTTTTTCATAATCACCAGGAACTTTCTGATAGTATTACACCTTGTATATCCAAAGTCAAGACGTAACACTGCTTATTGATTAAAGAAGTGCAGTGATGTACGAGAAAGATCTGATGAACTGGACGAGTGGTTACAGTAGGGTATGAAGTATTCTTAGATTTAGGCTTCTGACTTTAAAAGGGATACAATGACTCAGTCTGTAGAGCGTTTGTCTATGTAACCTCTGATATGTTTGGTTAGATGTTTGTGTTTCTCAGGGAGCTGGGAAACAGATTGGTCTATACTGTTATAGCTGTGTCCTTGGCCGAGATATTTCACCTTAACTGCTGTGGATGGTGTGGATGGCGTATAACAGACCTGTGTGTTGTTCAGTTAAGAAGCTACTAACTCCTAACAGGAGACCTCACATCAAAATGACCTTGGCTATTTAAGGTGTGATAAATCCAGCAACTGAACAAGCAAACAAAAAAACAAACCTGTGATTTTGAACATACAAATAATGTGCTCTTCATTTTCATTTGGAAGAATAATAATTATTACAGAGAGTAAATACTATGTCTACAAACAGGAAGCATGCTCTCAGGAGACAGAATTTCTCCTTCTGAGCACAGCATTGTCAGTGAAACCTCTGCAGTATGTATGTATTGGAAAGGAAAGTTTATCAATTGAAACTGAAAAATATTTATAGTATTTTACAGTTTTGATGTTCATTTTTTCCATTAGGAAACTTGAACATGAAATATCTACCTGTCTGTCCTATCAGGAACAAAGAAACCTATGGATTCTCCAGATTATTCCTTCTCATCAGGAAGCAATATGCAATAACAAATTTGTTCAACAGGTAAAATTACAAGCAAGTAGTTTTTGGTCCAAAATTTTTAATCAATTAAAAAGTCGAAATTGGATTTTCATTAATATGACAAAAAACATCTTGCCAACTTTTGATCTTACTCCATAAGCGTTTCTTCCACGTTTTGAAATTATCATGTACGTGTGTGACAAAGACGCTCATCACAACTAACATTTTAGATATTGTTTATGTTTTCTCTAACATGTAGAACTGAAACAATTATTTACTCTAATATTACATTTTACAAAACTGAAAACTCAGTTCATTTTGTTCTTAAAATTTAACATAATATTTTGCAGTCCTTGTACCCAAATTGTGTTGACACAATCCAAGTCCCTGAAGAAAACTTCAATCCATTTTCAAAAGCTGAAAAACCTTATCTTTAGTCACTTATAACTTAAACTAGGAGTGGTCAAAGCACCAAATCAGTCATAAAAAAGAGTAATGAACATGTCCAGCTCTCCCTCGGGCTCGAACCAGTGACCTCTTGCTGTTTGCCTAGACACATACACTGTATAGTTAAGCAAAACAGAAATTACCACTAGCCAAGAGAGGGGTGTTCCAGGACTTTATGGTACAGAAAACAACACAAAAGCTATAACTGAGTAAGTATCCAGAATGTAGGTCTAAGTTAAAGTCTTATTATTAGCATGTATATGTCCAAGATTCCTCAGGTTAAGTTCTTCTTCTTGTACAATTTCTATATTGTCAAAATGAAAATTGATGATTAAAAGTCTAAGTGTTGTTGTGTGGTGTGACAGCTTCAAAGTATATATACATAGTGAGAAAGTATGTTTCACCTGATGTTACAGACCCTTACACCACCAATCAAATGCAAGAAATTGATAAAATACAATGCAGAGGAGCATGTGTATAAGAACTAGGAAAATAAAAATTCCTGTTAAGTACCCTGACCAGGAATCAAATCTTGGTTTTAGGCGAGATAATCGATCGGCTCAGAAAGTTAAAGATGCATGTCATCTCAGCTGGATGAAAAACACTGTGTACAAGATATACTGGCCCACTCCTTTTACACATTTGACAGATTCAGCACATATCTCCTACATATGAGGAGAAAATTAATCAAAACATACTCACACACCTGTTGGTGGGAGTTTAATCTCCCCTACTTGTAATGTCTCTTCAAGACCTTACGTTGTGGGCTTATTCTGTTAAGGTTATGTCACAAAAATAGACAGTACACGGCTAATGTTACTGTTCATAACATGCGACTTTAAATATATATTCTTATATCTTGTATCGCGCAAATCCAAAACTTGAATGTCCGTAATTTGATTTTATCTTATCAGCTATCGTCACAAGCATTTAGTGGAAACAACGGATGACGAAGTGGGTTAAAGTGGAGTAGAAGAAGACTTTAATAGGATGTGTTTGTTCCATCTACAGTAGCCTTTTGGAATTCAAGCATCGGACTATGAAAGCTGTGAGTTTTACCTTGGAGGCGTTGGTCTGTCCTACTTGTTCACATTGGTCTGGTTCGTCATCACTGAAGAAGGAGTCATTCATATCCATTTTGCTTTGATACTCAATTCATGTTCAACATAACTCAGACGCCGCCATGATAGTTTACATGTGAAACCAACGTATTATTGTAACGAAATCGTTCATTGGCTTAAGATTTGAAACTAGTCGCTAGACAGCCAATGGGAAATCTGTTTTGTTATCTAAATACCATGTGCGGTGCATGCGCATATGCCCCTTAGCAATTTTGTCAACAATATGGCGGTTGTTGATCGCAAACCGTGAAAGCTACGGGAAAACTGCGAAAAACAACCAGGTATATTTCCGATACAACTGTCAGATATTTATGATACATATCTTATCGGGTAAAATATACACGAATTTATATTATGCATGGTATATAGTATCAGTCAGGTTGAAACCCATGAAACAGATGAGCATTAGGGTTAGGGCTATCTCATGAAAAGGGCACTGCCTCTATCATACTGAAATCAGATCAAATGGAGTTTTAACAAAGCAACATGGTTTGCACATATAACTGTTTTAAATATAGAAATTCAGAAGCTTAAAGGAATATATCCATATTACGGCACCTCCCTTTCTCATTGCCATGCTCGCTACAGTACATGTAATTCATGTGGCTAAGTACTTAATATTGTTGATAGGCCAAATGAGTTTGAATACTTATCCGCGATTTAATAACTTTGTTCATTCAAAGAAAAACGGAAATCACTGATCGATAGTCAGAACTTGTCAGGCTGCTGTATAGGTGAACTTTTCTACATTTTTATATATATCATAAGACTGCTAATCTGCCATTGAATTCATTATAATACATTATGATGCCAACCCATATCACTTATTAGTTTCTCATCATAAAAGCTGATATTGTTAGAGTATATGAATAACCAGTCTGAACAGAAGACAAAATGGCAAGCTTTATTTAAGTAAACTAGTGTTTGCCATAGCCCAAGTCTCCTCAAACCTGAATAAAAGAAGATGATTTGATGGACAGTTGTCTTGTGTCAGGCCAAAGAGCATTATTATAATGTTACTTAGAACTAGAGTAAATGAAAATGTAGAATTCACTGACAACATGTATGTACATTTTAAAGTAACATTATATGAAAACATTTATCATCAGACAATTGCATTTCATCTTGACAGTGGTAAGTTGAGCAGTACTTACTTAACTTCCATGTTTTAGAAACTAGTAAGGCTGTGGTGGAAATGCACAAAGAAATAAAAAACATTATTTTTCAAAGTTGCAGATGAGCAGTTTCAAACAAGAACCGGTTTGCAGCAGAAATGTGAAAACAACAAAAATAGTAACCAGGTAGCAAACTCCAGTCCAACATGGAGGTAAGGCAAGATACAGAGCTTACAAACCCCAGCATGACAAGTATTGCAGAGGAAGCTGAGGCAGAAGTTGCTCAAGAGGATTACTACTCTGAACCCAGAGTAAGTCCTGTTGAAATGGAGCTCTCTGAACTCTCAGATTCAACGACTGGAAAAAAGAAAATGGTTAACATTCACCAGTTCTATCCCCAACTAGAACATACTTTTACAAAGTCCTCCACAAAGTTTGCAGAGGAACAAGATAAACGAACAGAAGAGGCAATGAAAGAAATAGTTGATGAATCCACATTCACAAATTCAGAGAAAGACTTGAGTGCATCACAGTTGATACAGCTGGAAGACACTTCTTTGGTTCAGCTTCCAACAGATTCCATGACAGAAACAACTGATCCCATGGTGTCTAAAACTGATTTAACAGATGATGGAAGTGGGGATGCTGAAACTAAAGATGATGATGATAATAATTCTGCTGCAAGTAAAAAGGTATTCATCGTTTTTATTTACTGCTTCAATGTTTCTAGGAAGTTTAAAAAAAAAAAAGAAAAAAGAAAGAAAAAAAAACCAACAACACAAATGAAGCTACTGGAAATTAGTGATTGTCTTATAATTAAAGCCTTTACATAAAATTTTGAAAATGGGTAAGGTGTAGATACTCCCACTAAATTTTAGATTTGTGATTTGTTCTGATTTGAATTTATCTTTCCTGGGGTATTATCTCTCTTGTCCTAAGTCTTAAGTTCACTTCTACAATCACACTTTTGTTTCCAGTATCTTTTATTTCTCATTATTTGCCTCCTTTGCAATTTTTACGATGTTAATTGTGCTCTTTGTCATCTTTGATGTTTAGCTGTTTATTAAGAATACAGTAGTATATATATATGCTGGCAAATAATATCACATTATGATTTTGTTCATTGCTTAAACTTTGTATTATCTTCTCAGAACTGTTTCTTTTATGTTAATGATTATAATTTTCAGCCTTATCAGTCTACAATGTTTTTTGGGGTAAGAACTGCTACCTACATGAACCATAGAAATTTATAATATACATGTACTACTAGGTAGTTAAAGTCTGTCCAATTGATGTTAATATTTATCAACTTGTTCTGAAATCAAAACTTTTTTTGATAAATTACATTGTACATTTACTTTGTGAAATTGATGGAAAGCTCAATGTAAGCTTGTACCTAGTCTATACCTACCAAAGTCCACTTCTCTTTCCAAGTCACTGCCTTCACAGTACAAAGATATATGAAAATATAATTCTTGTGATGGAAAAAGCATATAAATATCAGTATAATAATCACATTGTGTGATATACATTGCATTAAATCGACTAAGTTTATATTTTAAAATATTCATTTGTGTTCAATACGAAAAGAAATAAAATGTACTAGGTCATGTATGTTCGCATCAAAGTGAAGGGTAAATTGATTTAATGCTTTGGACCAATGTGTTTTTTGATTTTCTATTTTGCCCCATAACAGATGCAAAATCTTCGTTTTTTACTTTGGGTCCAAGAGTTTAATGCATGTCACCTGTTTATCACAAAATATAAGATCTTTGATTGTCACCTGTTCACCACAAATTATAAGATCTTTGATTGTCACATGTTTACCACAAATTCAAGGATATTTGATTGACCCCTCGTTAACACATTCCATGGTCATTGCCTATCACCTCTCTACTACACATCTTAAAGGTCCTTTATTGTCACATGTTGACCACAAAATCCAGGATCTTTGCATGTCACCAGTTTACATCACATTTCAGGCTCTTAGCTTGTCACATCTTTACCACGTATCCTGGGGTCTTTGCTTGTCCCCTGTTTATCACAAAGTCAAGTCCAGTGTCTTTGCATGTCACCTGTTTACCACACATTTCAGGGTCTTTGCTTGTCACCTGTTTACCACACATCCCAGGGTCTTTGCTTGTCACCTGTTTACCACACATCCCAGGGTCTTTGCTTGTCACCTGTTTACTACACATCCCAGGGTCTTTGCTTGTCATCTGTTTACCACACATCCCAGGGTCTTTGCTCGTCACCTGTTTACCACAAAGTCCAGGATCATTGCTTGTCATTCGCTTTTGCCACATCTTCAGGTTATTTGCTTGTCACCTGTTACCCACATATCCCCAGGATTCTTGTCACATTTCACTGCAAATTCCAGGATTATTGCCTGTCACCTTTACATATTATATCCCTAGGGTCTCTGCTTGTCACCTGTTTACCACAAATTCCAAGGTCTTTGCTTGTCACATGTTTACTACAAATTCTAGGGGCTTTGCTGGTCACCTGTTTACCACAAATTCCAGGGTTTTTGCATGTCACCTATTTACCACACATGCGAGAATAATTGTTAGTCACATGTTTGATTGTTTACAACATTTGGACTTACGTGTGGATGTTTAGTGTAAGTCACATGCTTAACAGAGAACAATCTACTGTTTATGAAATTATTTTTTGTTTTATTCTAAATAAACAAATCATCAAATATTGATTGTTTTGTCCAAAGAAGTAAACATGAAACAGTAAACATAATCCATTTTAATAAAGATCTACACAAAACTGACATATGAAAATAACTTTGTAAGTAAAAGTATGTTTTCAGTAATAAGCAGATTGTCTCAGCTGTATAGAAGTGGTGTAGTGATAATGTTTGTGTTGTTTTAGCCTGCCAGTGTGTTTAGCACAACAGTAAGTGAGGAAACACTGAACAAAGCAAGAGCTCGTCGATGGACACGCAACAGTATATTCCAAACAGAGGACTGGGGACCAGTCCAGAAATACTCAGCAGGCATGAAGGATATCGTTGACAAGAGGGCCGCAGAACAGTAAGGCCACATATGTGTACTGTTGTGTACAACATATTTTAAATGTTGTTGTTGCTTTGTCAACACAAAATTTTCACACAACTTTTAAAGCAATTAAAGAGTAAATTCCACAACAGAAATGCTGATTGAAAAGTCAATGATTTAAAAAAAAATTGATAAACTCTTATAGACTGTTTGACTTCCTGATATTTTGCCCTAAGATGTCAGCCAATCATTTAGTATATAATATTTTCTGCTAAAATGGTAAGATTTTTGATGTGCTGTTCTTTGATCCAGTACCTTGATCTTTACATACAGAGAGCCTGCATTGATCACCCAGTAAAAATATTTGTTTTGATTTTCAGTTTTTCCAAAGCGATGTTGTTAAAGGCAAGTGGTGACCATCAGGGATGTATAAACGCTGTAAATAAAGCAATGGGACTTGTGGCAGACGTACCCAGATACTATGTTGAACGGGCGGAGGCCTACATTCAGTTGTGTGACTTTAAGTCAGCCATTTTGAACTACAAAAAAGCTTGCCTACTTGAAGCAAACAATGAAGGATATTATTCACGTCTGTCATTTCTTTATTACTTCCAAGGACAGACATTATTTGATCAGAGACTTTATCCAGAGGCCTTGGAGTGCTTTTCTAGTGCAGCTGAAATGAACCCTGATAATGTAGGATACCATATAAGGAGGTAAGAAAAGTGATACTGTAACATTTTTACCATATAAGGAAGCAAATACCATATTAGGATTTAAAATAGCTATACAAGTGTACTGATTGTTTTTTTCAACCCAAATGTCACTCTGGTGATTAATTTATGGCAATTTATCAAATGTAGATGGTCAAGAAATCAATGCCAGCCTTTTATACAAAACCATAACACTTATTTAATACAGACTTTTCCATATAGTGATCAGCCAGGTTTGAACATGAGGTGTAGGACTTATAATGGTTTTGACTAGATAAAAATTGTGTTTTGTTTCTGGATTTTGAGGGCTAGTAGTTGTAGCTATGTTGGGTAGAATTAGTAAATATTGTCTTTATTTGTTATCTGTGACATCTTGATTTTTTTGTTTTTGAAGCATTACCTGTCTAGCTGCCCTACAAAGACATGGTGAGTGTCTAGCCTTGGTGAACAAGCGATTGGAAACAGAGGTCAACAACCCTGACTTGTATATAATGAGGGCCCGCCTACATGAGATGTTCCGGAATGTGAGTACAGGAAAATATGATAAATCATATCTCTATATTTTATTAGAACATAGCGTACACTTAATGCCTGTTCCATCAAAAATTCTGTATATTATGTTAATAGAAAAGTAACTAAAATATAGCTTTTTAATCTGTAAGCTGATAACAAGTTTACCAGAATACATTGTTTGTAGGTTTTAAAATATTTAACTCCTTCAAAATTGTTCTTAATATGGTGAGATTATATCTAGTGATTTCCTTGAGTTTCATTCCACTATCATCAATTACAAATGTTAGGTACTTTAACCTCACCATCAATAGATTATAATTGTTGATAATATACCACTGTATGTTCCAGACAACGCTTTGTTACTATGATATAAAAGATGCCTTGTCACTCGATGAGGGCCATGTTGAAGCTAAGAAGATGATGGTTCACCTGGAGCGCCGCGCCCAGGACAACAAAGCTCAAGCAGCACAGCTCAATCTGGCTGGTAAACACAGGGAGGCGCTTCAGAAAATATCCATTGCCATAGAAACCAACCCCAATATGGCAGACTTTCACGTCCTCAGGTGAATAAGATAGCATTGAAATGTTTGCTTGTTTTGATTCAAATGAAAAATTGTCAGAAGGCCAGTTTTGTCATATATTTCATACATGAATGATAAATTGAAAAAATCCATAATATACTGTAACCAAATATTGCCCTTGCCCTGCTACCTATAATGTATAGTATGATACTGACATAAATGTTGCCCTTGCCCTCCAGAGGTAACTATACTGATATGATATTGTAACCAAATATTGCCCTTGCCCTGCTACCTATAATGTATAGTATGATACTGACATAAATGTTGCCCTTGCCCTCCAGAGGTAACTATACTGATATGATATTGTAACCAAATATTGGCCTTGCCCTGCTACCTATAATGTATAGTATGATACTGACATAAATGTTGCCCTTGCCCTCCAGAGGTAACTATACTGATATGATATTGTAACCAAATATTGCCCTTGCCCTGCTACCTATAATGTATAGTATGATACTGACATAAATGTTGCCCTTGCCCTCCAGAGGTAACTATACCGATATGATATTGTAACCAAATATTGCCCTTGCCCTGCTACCTATAATGTATAGTATGATACTGACATAAATGTTGCCCTTGCCCTCCAGAGGTAACTATACCGATATGATATTGTAACCAAATATTGCCCTTGCCCTGCTACCTATAATGTATAGTATGATACTGACATAAATGTTGCCCTTGCCCTCCAGAGGTAACTATACCGATATGATATTGTAACCAAATATTGCCCTTGCCCTGCTACCTATAATGTATAGTATGATACTGACATAAATGTTGCCCTTGCCCTCCAGAGGTAACTATACCGATATGATATTGTAACCAAATATTGCCCTTGCCCTGCTACCTATAATGTATAGTATGATACTGACATAAATGTTGCCCTTGCCCTCCTGAGGTAACTATACCAATATGATATTGTAACCAAATATTGCCCTTGCCCTGCTACCTATAATGTATAGTATGATACTGACATAAATGTTGCCCTTGCCCTCCAGAGGTAACTATACCGATATGATATTGTAACCAAATATTGCCCTTGCCCTGCTACCTATAATGTATAGTATGATACTGACATAAATGTTGCCCTTGCCCTCCAGAGGTAACTATACCGATATGATATTGTAACCAAATATTGCCCTTGCCCTGCTACCTATAATGTATAGTATGATACTGACATAAATGTTGCCCTTGCCCTCCAGAGGTAACTATACCGATATGATATTGTAACCAAATATTGCCCTTGCCCTGCTACCTATAATGTATAGTATGATACTGACATAAATGTTGCCCTTGCCCTCCAGAGGTAACTATACCGATATGATATTGTAACCAAATATTGCCCTTGCCCTGCTACCTATAATGTATAGTATGATACTGACATAAATGTTGCCCTTGCCCTCCAGAGGTAACTATACCGATATGATATTGTAACCAAATATTGCCCTTGCCCTGCTACCTATAATGTATAGTATGATACTGACATAAATGTTGCCCTTGCCCTCCAGAGGTAACTATACCGATATGATATTGTAACCAAATATTGCCCTTGCCCTCCAGAGGTAACTATACCGATATGATATTGTAACCAAATATTGCCCTTGCCCTTCAGAGGTAACTATACAGATATGATATTGTAACCAAATATTGCCCTTGCCCTGCTACCTATAATATATAGTATGATACTGACATAAATGTTGCCCTTGCCCTCCAGAGGTAACTATAACATATAGTATGATACCGACATAAATGTTGCCCTTGCCCTCCAGAGGTAACTATAACATATAGTATGATACTGACATAAATGTTGCCCTTGCCCTCCAGAGGTAACTATAATATATAGTATGATACCGACATAAATGTTGCCCTTGCCCTCCAGAGGTAACTATAACATATAGTATGATACCGACATAAATGTTGCCCTTGCCCTCCAGAGGTAACTATAACATATAGTATGATACTGACATAAATGTTGCCCTTGCCCTCCAGAGGTACCCTCCATCGGAAGCTGGGTGATTTTAATGCAGCTATTGATGACTTCCTGCTGGCCCTGGACAAATGTGACCATAATGAGGAAAGCCAGGTCTATCTCGACTCACAGCGACAACTCCTTCTAACATATAATGACTTTGCTGTTGAGTGCTTCACTAAAGGATTCTATGAAGAATCTATCATCCTTTTAAATAAGGCTATTAAGGGAGAGAAACGAGAGAAAGGACTCTACATCAATCGAGGAGGTAATTACTGAGTATTTTCTTCTGCTAGAAATTTTCATTTGGTGCAGTAGTCTGTTTTATTTTGTCGTTTATGTATGATGTCCCACCAAGACGTTTTTTCAGAAACTAACTGTGATGTCCTTCCATATATCCTTATCATGTATAATGTATAAAAAGGATTACCAGCATATATGCATTATACCACCTTTGCATGAATGTCACATCCTCCATCACCGCCTCCCCCCTCACCACCCCCATCCCTCCTCCAGAGAATGTCCACCTCACCACAGGAAAATATTGCATCACTTATAACTTGTCAACTTTTTCCAATGATGAAATTCTTGTTTAATATTTTCGAATGAATATGCATTTCATAATGGGCTTTATGAAGTCACCACCATGAGCATCAACTACAACTCAAAAGTCCTGGATGTTTTTTTATCAAGATTGCCAAAATTTACCCATCTCTATCTTCCCATTGGATAGTACCTAACTATGATAATAAGAATGTAAATCGGATTATGTTTCTCTAAACTCTGACCATGTATAGATTAGAGTTATCTCCCTTCCTATATCAAGCAGGTAGGCTATGCACAGGCAAGATAGTACCTATGTAAAATGGTGAAAAAATGACATTTTTCACATCTCACAAAACTATTTTCTATAGCAAAAGTGGAACTCTGTTGAAAACTTTGCCAACACAATGATTAAAGCCTTGAATTGTGTAACTGAGGAGGTGGAAAGTTTAAAATCTTTTATAAACACTTGCCAAACCACTAATGCCAAGGTTAGACAAACATTGCGCTAACTACTCCTGCACCAGGTTTACACTTTTTATGGAGGATATGTATTATGTGGGTGCTGTCAAATCAAATCTATACAGATGTCTAGTAACTGTATGGATAATCATTTATTAAAAACAAAAACACTACACTACTGTACTTCCCTATAAGTCGGTAAGTATTATTGGCGTACCGCAAATGTTCTATGGGAATACGATAACATTTGCAGGGATAATGAAATGTTATTTGCTTTAATATATATCATCATGTTATTCTACTTTGTGAGTTACCATCATTTGTTCTGATTTGCCTGTCTCACTAAAGCAACAGGAATTCATGTTGATCAAATGTAAGCATGAGTCACAACCAAGTTGTCTTTTTGTGTGCAAACAATCTGACCACTTAGCAAGCCAGAATCAGTGGGAGTGAGGTAGAAGGTTGAAACATATTTCATTCCTGACTTGAAGAATGGCCTGGATGGCTTACCTATATCTACAGTATTAATCAAGTATAATTTTCCATGTCTTTCCAGATTGTTTTTTCCGACAGCATGATCTGAACTTCGCCTTACAAGACTACAACCAGGCATTGGAAATTGACCCTAATGATGCTGCCATCCAGGCAAGGATATCAGTCATTTATAACGAGTATGGAGTGACTGCTTACCAGGACAAAAACTATCCGGTAGGTCACACAAAAATAAAACCTGTAAGTCACACAAAAATATAACCTGTAAGTCACATAAATATGTACCAGTAAGTCACACAAATATGTTTCAGTAGGTCACACAAATATGTACCAGTAAGTCACACAAATATGTACCTGTAAGTCACACAAATATGTACCAGTAAGTCACACAAATATGTACCTGTAAGTCACACAGATATGTACCAGTAAGTCACACAGATATGTTTCAGTAGGTCACACAAATATGTACCAGTAAGTCACACATATATGTACCAGTAAGTCACACAAATATGTACCAGTAAGTCACACATATATGTACCAGTAAGTCACACAAATATGTACCAGTAGGTCACACAAATATGTACCAGTAAGTCACACATATATGTACCAGAAGGTCACACAAATATGTACCAGTAAGTCACACAGATATGTACCAGAAGGTCACACAAATATGTACCAGTAAGTCACAAAGATATGTACCAGTAAGTCACACAAATATGTACAGTAAGTCACACAAATATGTATCAGTAAGTTACACAGATATGTACCAGTAAGTCACACAGATATGTACCAGTAGGTCACATATATATGTACCAGTAGGTCACACATATATGTACCAGTAGGTCACACAAAATTGTACCCAGTAGGTCACACAAATATGTACCAGTAAGTCACACAAAATTGTACCTAGTAGGTCACACACATGTGTGCTCCTACATAAGGTATCACTATAACATCACTGTGTATGAAATTGTCACACAGTGATACTATTGAAACACATGGAATGGATGGCATGCGTGTCTCACAAGGGTTTTCTACTCTTATTGTTACATACAGGATTTTCTTACATCATATCAACAATGGCTGGACATGGATTATCAGTTTATTGGTTATAACTTTATAAAGAATAAAGTGATAAAGTGAATATTGGTTTAGTGACGACGTCCTGTTATATGAAATTTTTTTGATATGCTTTAAGCTCCAATATTCTTTAATTTTTTCACTCATGCTATGCACTTCTGAGAAATACTCAAGACATAGTGAATTCATTAAACATTTAAGAATATCCTCTTGTGGGTGTTACATTTCTTTAAAGTGTCAAAGTTAGAAATGAATGTTCATGCTTACAAAGGACACTGAATGTTATGCTACTGTGCTCCAATTGTAGTCATTCTGCTATTAATACTCTGTTTTTTAACAACAGGAAGCTGATTCCAAGTTTACAGAAGCCTTGAAACACAACCCAAAAGTTGGCCAGTACTATATATCCCGAGCTAGGTCTCGTTACATGTTAGAGGTATGTGACAAGGACATAATGTTTTTTTTATCTTCTGACAATAAAATGATTAAAGTTTTAAATTTAAATCAACAGCACTCTATAGTCTATGTTAACAATGATGTTTTAGTATATTTCTTTGTCAAAGTCAATATATTATAATAAGGAATTTGATGATTTCTGACAGTTAATATCTATAAGTCAAAGCCAAAGGGGTGGTGGGGGGTGGGGGGAGAGAAAAGTGACCTTTGTTGGCAGGTTATCTTTATATAGAGGTTTAATTACTATGGATTGTATTACATTAAGACCAGAAACCAGTGACCTTTATAGACAGGTATTTGTTATAGTCAGGCCAGATAGGACCTTTTGATGTTTGTCAGTACTCAATTGATTGCTGGTTTCTAGAGTATTGTCGGGGCCAGAAAGGACCTTCTGATGTTTGTCAGTACTAAATTGATTGCAGGTTTCTAGAGTATGGTTGGGACCAGACATGACCTTCTGATGTTTGTCAGTACTAAATTGATTGCTGGTTTCTAGAGTATTGTCGGGGCCAGAAAGGACCTTCTGATGTTTGTCAGTACTCAATTGATTGCTGGTTTCTAGAGTATGGTTGGGACCAGACAGGACCTTCTGATGTTTGTCAGTACTAAATTGATTGCTGGTTTCTAGAGTATGGTCAGGGCCAGACTGGACCTTCTGATGTTTGTCAGTACTTAGGTAATTGATTGCTGGTTTCTAGAATATGATAAGGGCCAGACAGATGTTTGTCAGTACTAAATTGATTGCTGTTTTGTAGAGTATGGTTGGGGCCAGACAGGACCTACTGATGGGACTACTTTTGGATCCGACTAATGAGGATGTGATATCGATTCTGTCCCGCCTCTTCCCTGGTAAATCTGTAGCAGAGGTGGTCAACAGCCGTGCAGCAGACTCTGCCAAACTTGCCCTTAGAGCTGTGCTGTTCCCACCCCAGACGAGGCCACTCGAGTCAAAGTCCATGTCTGCAATGGAGGTGACATTTGATGAAGGGTGAGTACACAAACAATTGTCATTTACTATTATACAATTAGAATTATATTGTTTTGTCCTGTTGCTAATTAAAGATAACATTATTTCCTAGATTTCTGAAGTACACATATGTAAAACCTTTTTCCAGTATGACAGGTGAACACCAGCCGCCACAGTCTGCAGTGAAGACAGAATGGAGTCAGGCAGAATCTGAAGCGTCACAGAAGGAAAGTTCTGGTCCTCCAGCCCTACAGCGACTTAAGACATGCATGAGTGAACAGGATTTTGCTCTTGTCCTTATGGAAGGAAAGAAACAGGTACATATATCTAAAGTGCCACATATAAGAAATATAAGAACACAAGTAACAAAGGCTAATATGATTCCTTTCCTTCTCTATGAGAATGTCAGTTACTACAGCTGATGTGATATGGTCCTGTGATTCCTTTCCTTCTATAAAAGAATGTCAGTTACTACAGCTGACGTGATATGGTCCTGTGATTCCTTTCCCTCTATAAAAGAATGTCAGTTACTACAGCTGACGTGATATGGTCCTATGATTCCTTTCCTTCTCTATGAGAATGTCAGTTACTACAGCTGACGTGATATGGTCCTGTGATTCCTTTCCCTCTATAAAAGAATGTCAGTTACTACAGCTGACGTGATATGGTCCTGTGATTCCTTTCCTTCTATAAAAGAATGTCAGTTACTACAGCTGACGTGATATGGTCCTGTGATTCCTTTCCTTCTCTATGAGAATGTCAGTTACTACAGCTGACGTGATATGGTCCTGTGATTCCTTTCCTTCTCTATGAGAATGTCAGTTACTACAGCTGACGTGATATGGTCCTGTGATTCCTTTCCTTCTCTATGAGAATGTCAGTTACTACAGCTGACGTGATATGGTCCTGTGATTCCTTTCCTTCTCTATGAGAATGTCAGTTACTACAGCTGACGTGATATGGTCCTGTGATTCCTTTCCCTCTATAAAAGAATGTCAGTTACTACAGCTGACGTGATATGGTCCTGTGATTCCTTTCCTTCTATAAAAGAATGTCAGTTACTACAGCTGACGTGATATGGTCCTGTGATTCCTTTCCCTCTATAAAAGAATGTCAGTTACTACAGCTGACGTGATATGGTCCTGTGATTCCTTTCCTTCTATAAAAGAATGTCAGTTACTACAGCTGACGTGATATGGTCCTGTGATTCCTTTCCCTCTATAAAAGAATGTCAGTTACTACAGCTGACGTGATATGGTCCTGTGATTCCTTTCCTTCTCTATGAGAATGTCAGTTACTACAGCTGACGTGATATGGTCCTGTGATTCCTTTCCTTCTATAAAAGAATGTCAGTTACTACAGCTGACGTGGTATGGTCCTGTGATTCCTTTCCCTCTATAAAAGAATGTCAGTTACTACAGCTGACGTGATATGGTCCTGTGATTCCTTTCCTTCTCTATGAGAATGTCAGTTACTACAGCTGACGTGATATGGTCCTATGATTCCTTTCCTTCTCTATGAGAATGTCAGTTACTACAGCTGACGTGATATGGTGTGATTCCTTTCCCTCTATAAAAGAATGTCAGTTACTACAGCTGACGTGATATGGTCCTGTGATTCCTTTCCTTCTATAAAAGAATGTCAGTTACTACAGCTGACGTGATATGGTCCTGTGATTCCTTTCCTTCTCTATGAGAAAGTCAGTTACTACAGCTGACGTGATATGGTCCTATGATTCCTTTCCTTCTATAAAAGAATGTCAGTTACTACAGCTGACGTGATATGGTCCTGTGATTCCTTTCCTTCTATAAAAGAATGTCAGTTACTACAGCTGACGTGATATGGTCCTATGATTCCTTTCCTTCTATAAAAGAATGTCAGTTACTACAGCTGACGTGATATGGTCCTGTGATTCCTTTCCTTCTCTATGAGAATGTCAGTTACTACAGCTGACGTGATATGGTCCTGTGATTCCTTTCCCTCTATAAAAGAATGTCAGTTACTACAGCTGACGTGATATGGTCCTGTGATTCCTTTCCTTCTCTATGAGAATGTCAGTTACTACAGCTGACGTGATATGGTCCTGTGATTCCTTTCCCTCTATAAAAGAATGTCAGTTACTACAGCTGACGTGATATGGTCCTGTGATTCCTTTCCTTCTATAAAAGAATGTCAGTTACTACAGCTGACGTGATATGGTCCTGTGATTCCTTTCCTTCTATGACATGATATGGTCTAGTGATTATCATCAACATATATCAGAAGATAGGTTACTAACTCTGACATGACTTGGTCCAGTGATTACCATCAACATATATCAGAAGATAGGTTACTAACTCTGACATGACGTGGTCCAATGATTCCCTTCTACCTATATAAGAATATAAGTTACTTACTCTGACATGAATCCTCATGACATTGTCCAGTGATTCCATTCTACCTATATCAGAATATAAGTTACTAACTCTGACATGGTCCAATGATTGCCTTTCACCTACATATGAATCAAAGTTACAAAGGCTGACATGATATCTTTCCTCCCATGTTAACAGGTTCATACAGAGATCAAAACATCACTACGTGAAAGGAAGTCACTGAAGTATGAAGGCCCACGAGTTCAGCCTCTCCCGCCCCCTACTGCAAAGCCCCGGTATGGAGGTCTTCGAAAGGAACGCCTCATAAAAAGCCCTGGATCTGGGGACAAGAAGAAGGGTAGCACAAATTGGAAACAGTTCTCCATGGGCATAGGGCTTGCCAATGCTGCTGACTAGTCGATGGTGCAAACATTAGGTTAAAACAGTCACTGTTGGAACATTATATTTCAGGTCTGAAGCCACAGCTGAAGACTTTTTTGTAAATTCAGAGATATAGAGATCTGTAATACATTTCAGGATCTACATACAGAGATCTGTAATACATTTCAGGACCTACATACAGAGATCTGTAATTCTGTAATACACTTCAAAACCTACATAGTCATACAGAATTCTGTAATTCTTTAATATGCTTCAAAACCTACATGGTAGTTGTTCAAACCAATTATATATATAGGATCACCACTGGTGTCGTAATAAAATTTGAGGCTTAAATGCCTCTTCATATCACACAATTGCAAGATCTGTATTTGTACCATACACAGGCCCCAGATCTAATTTAATTGTACCCTACACAGGCCCCTGATCTGTTTTAATTGTACCCTACACAGGCCACAGGTCTGTTGTAATTGTACCCTACACAGACCCCAGATCTGTTGTAATTGTACCCTACACAGGCCCCAGATCTGTTGTAATTGTACCCTACACAGGCCACAGATCTGTTGTAATTGTGCCCTACACAGGCTCCAGATCTGTTGTAATTGTACCCTACACAGGCCCCAGATCTGTTGTAATTGTACCCTACACAGGCCCCAGATCTGTTGTAATTGTACCCTACACAGGCCACGGATCTGTTGTAATTGTACCCTACACAGGCCCCAGATCTGTTGTAATTGTACCCTACACAGGCCCCAGATCTGTTGTAATTGTACCCTACACAGGCCACGGATCTGTTGTAATTGTACCCTACACAGGCCCCAGATCTGTTGTAATTGTACCCTACACTGGCCACAGATCTGTTGTAGTCATACCCTACACAGGCCACAGGTATGTTGTAGTCATGCCCTACACAGGCCACAGGTATGTTGTAATTGTACTTTACACATGCCACATATCTGTATTTTACAGTAACATTTGATCACAAAAGAATATTTCTCTAACATAATTTTTTTTAAACAATATTGAAGAAAAGACAAAACAAAACAAAGAAACAGATTTCAGCATTATTATATAGAAGATTTTCTATGCAATAAGAAGAGTTTTAGTAATTTTTTTCACAAGAGAATTATGTTATGAGAATTACCCTATTTGTTGAGTAACAAGTACCTTTGATAGCATTACCATTACTTGGTGCCTTGGTATGAATGAGGCTTGTTAATAAATTGTTCTCATCGAAGCTCAAATATCAGTCAGGTTCCACAATTTTCCAGACAATTGCTTCATCAACAGTATTTATTTCATATCAGTATGAATGTCAAAATATGAGCAGTTTTTAAAAATTTATTTAACAGTATTTTTATATGCTTTATATGTATACATTATTTATCACCTGACATTCTAACTATATACTTATGTTTTCCTGGTATAGTCATAGCAGTATTCTTTTAATACTCGTCTACAGTGCTGCCAAACATTTTGTAATATATTCAAAGTTTTCAAATTTCAAACAAGTAATTTATCATCCTTCCACTCATTTATGCGTGCCATTTAAAACATTGATTCGAGAAGTTGTGAGATGTTGATGTGATAATTTCAGTGATTATGGACAGAGTATAAACAATTTGATGTTACACTGTATAAAAAATGAAATTTGAAGAAATAGAATCTTTAATTGTTAATTGCCAAACCAAGGATGATTTCATATATTGTGTAAATATTCCTCGCCAAACATATGTCTGATATGTAATCATATTAACAGAGGGTAAAACACAATTCAGATTCAGGTTTATATCACCTATCTGTGGATTGCCAAATTCAGCTTTATGTCTCCTGCCTATGGATAGCTAGATTCAGACTCGTATCATCTGTCCATGGATTGCAGTGACCAGGTCTTTAAACCTTTCACTGACTTGGTAAGGTTAACATTGGTAATTACACATGGAATTACCTTAATTACCCAATTACCAGTTACATACATATAGAGTTAATCAAATTAAAACGTACATCCATCATATTCAACTTAGAATTACCTGTAATGTAATGTAATTACATGTAAAAGTGATACTTCAGTTTCTAGATTTACACCTGTGATAACTAGCATAACACACGTGATAACTAGTGTTACACCTGTGATAACTAGAGTTACACCTGTGATAAACACCTGTGATAACTAGTGTTACACCTGTGATAACTAGCATAACACATGTGATAACTAGAGTTACACCTGTGATAACTAGCATAACACATGTGATAACTAGTGTTACACCTGTGATAACTAGTGTTACACCTGTGATAACTAGCATTACACTTGTGATAACTAGTGTTACACCTTTGATAACTAGCATTACACCTGTGATAACTAGAGTTATACCAGTTGATAACTAGAGTTATATATGTTGATAACTAGAGTTAAACCTGTGATAACTTGAGTTACACCTGTGATAACTTGAGTTACATCTGTGATAACTAGAGTTACATAGGTTGATAACTAGAGTTACATATGTTGATAACATAATTTATATATGTCCCTTATAAGGTATATATAATATAGGTAGGCAAGCAAAATTCTGTGATGATTAAGACTTTATTTGTAATTCTTAGCTAAACATTAGGTCGATTTAAGTATTGGCTGTGCAAGAGGATTTAAGCATATATCTATATATGTGACTTCTTTGATGGAGATGTGGAATATTTAGACATACATGCAGGTCTCACACAACACCTGAGTGAACACTGTCATTGTGGTTAATATCACATAATACATTGTTTTTTTGTTTATGTTTATGTTGTTTGTTGTCTTTGGTGTCACATTGTTGACACAATATGTTATCAGAATATCTCTATTGTTCTGATAATCAATTTCTCTGTGACGATTACAATAAACACTAAATTTCAAAACTGCCTTGATGTATGTGTCTTATGTGTCACTTTTTCTGGAGTACTGATTCTCAATGTCATGCTTCAAAAGGATTTTTAAAAATACCTTGATCATGATAACATTTTCAGCATGCCTGCCTTAGTGTGGCATCTGAGTGGCATCCATTTTTCCCTTCCAATTACTTCTTCTTAATAACCAGAAGGTCCAGATTACTGATATTGGACCTATAGCATGCTTGCATGAATGACCTTGACTTACTTTCAAGATGCAAGGGGTCAAATAAAATTGAATCTTCAAACAACTTCTCAGTAATCAAAAGGCCTGGATTACTAATACTGAGTCTGTAGTATAATAGATGAAGGGCTAGAAACCTTACTTCAAATGAATGACCTTGACCCTCTTTCAAGGTCACAGTGGACAAATATGTTAAAATCTTTTCGTGACTTTATCTCGACAACCAAATGGCCAAGGGTGCTAATATTGGGTCTGTAGCATGCTGGGAGGAAAGGCTATAATGTTTGATCAATTTGACTTTCAAGGTCACAGGGGTCATATGTGTTGAAATCTTCAATCGCCTTCTTCTCAATAGCCAAAAGGCAAAGGGTGCTGATATAGTCATATAGCATGCTGGCATGAAGGGCTACCAAGTATGTTAAAAAATATAAGTTTGGCTAACTCTGAAGGTTACAGGGGGTCAAATATGTTAAAAACTTAACAATTTTTCTTCTCAAAAAGCAGAAGGTCCTGGGTCATAGTTGTGTAGTAGTATGCTTGAGGAATAGGCTTTACTGTTTGCAGCCTTCACGAACCAACTTCTTGTAAGCTGCAGAACAAGTTGGCAATTCAGGTCCATTGGACCTCATGTTACAGGTAGTTCAAGATGAGTATGGAAATTATTCAAGTTTTATATGATATGTGCTTGAGATGAACCCAAGATATATTTTAAACTTGGAGATGATTCCACTCAAAACTGTAACAGTAGCAGATGGACCTACCTTTAGTTGAACAGCATAATGATTTTTTAACAAGTAAATTTAATTGTACTAGGATAGGGTGATGAAAAATGCCGTTCCCATTGGGATTCGGACTAGCAGTCCTTGGTTCTTTAGCCAGATGCTCTATCACTTGATTCAAGGGAAAGTCCCACTAGCTTTGAGTAGTAAGACAATCTGTACTTTCAGCTACTGCACTATTCCTTGACCACAACCAATTAATAGGCCTTTGCTTGCTTTGCAATATATAAAAGTTACATAAGAATTTGTTCTAATAAATGACCTTGACCTGATATTAGGCCTATAGCGAGCTGGGAAGATGGGCAATCAACATTGTTTAGATCACTTTTATCAAAAGTGGTAAGATATTAAAAGTAACTTCTTCTCAATACCTAAGAGGTCCAGGGTCATGATACTAGGTCTGTAGTACCTAGTGTTGATGGCTACCAAGTTTGTTCAAATGAATGACCTTGGTCCATATTTAAAAATCACAGAGGGGGAAATACCATACGCTTCCTTATTTTACCTTCAGTATAAGTAAAGTTAAAAAGAGGTTTGAGTCAGACGTGCACAAACGAAGATCTGACTACAGACTGTTGGTAAAATCTTAATTTGCTGTATGTAAACAATAATTTCTTCCCATGCCACAGTAAACTGTCAGGCAGAGGTTTTTGTTATATATTTCAGCATAAAATAGCCAGCCTTTCATCACGAGCATCAAACTAAATTTGTGAAGGAATTTGTAATGTGGTAAATAAAAATTTAAACTTCACTGAAATATCCCTTTTAAAAACCTTTTCCACAATTATTTAGTGCTAGCACCTGTACACAATTCGTGTCCTATGACAAGAAGCTAGGACAGAAAGTCTGTGTCATTTACAATGTTACAGACGCTAATTTGTCAGAACATGGTGGTCTCTCAAAAGCAACTAATGCCAAACAAAATGTCACATGTGTTGCTTATCTTGTTATATGTACATATATTAGGGGAAAATTTTGCTGTACTTCATAAAGAAACCATTCCTTTATCGTCATGAGTGAAGTGTTTGTGAGTTAATTGGATATGAAAATACGAATTGCATTTTACAACAGTTTAAAGTAATTAATTATCAAAAGTATAGGAATTTAAAACCCTTCATAATTATTCATGAACGGTTACGTAAACCTTAAGGATGAATGACGGCCATCTTCTTTTATACGAAAAACTATTCATCACAGTCTTGGGTTTAAAAGTAGTCTGTGTAGCCTTAATACTACTGAGTATAAAAAACAGATGTGTTTATGAAACAATATGCCTCCGGTTGCGACAAAAGTCTGAAGTGGAACATTAAAACTGTACTTGTATCAGGCATGTACGAATTGCATGAACACTTCGTGAAACGCTTATGTCTTAATTGTGATAATTTTTTTCACTTTCAAATGTAAGTCAAATATTAAGGTCAAGGTCACATGGTCAAAAATTTTGGTACCACCGGAAAGGTCTTATCACGAGGAACACACATGCCAATACGAAAGCCCTATTGGTTGGTGTGTTTCCTCTGAAAACTCATTTTATTGGCTCAATCTTTCTCAGTTTAACTCATTTTTCGGCATTGTTTAAATGGAAATTCTGTCTTAACGTCCGTTTAAAACCCGGCTTTTGCTCCAGTGCTAAATCATCATGACCGATATTTTCAGTAATTATCTTTGTTCCTATAAACCATACAAAATACTTCTGGCGGAAGCTGTAGTATATCAAATCGGTCTAGACTAATCTACTAGATAATCAAAGTCGACTGGAAGTGTAAAGTCTTAAACAGGTGTAGTCATGACTGTCATCCGTAAACGTTACCGAGTGTGGACCCTAGATTGGGCCAGTAAAACTCTGTATTGTGTCCACAACCTGGCGTTTAAACCAAATTGACAACACACATTAAAATTTTATATCGAATTGTCTATATATATTTTTCTGACTTTTTTTCTTCTTTTGTTTTGTTTGGTTTCTTTTGTTTGTTTGTTAAAAAAACCTTAATTTAACCTCAATGTTGACAGAAGAGCATTGAAGAAGTACACGGAAAATCACTCGGAAACAGTGGGCGTCTTCTGTTTCTTTGTTATCCATATAATGTCACGTTCTCAAAAGTAGAATAGTGCTGATAACGTATCCCAGAGACGTCCTTTCGAGAGTCAAACACATCTGCCTTCCTATCGCTCCGTGCATCTTCAAGAATCCCCAGATTACATAGGTGTAAATTAATATCCCGGAAGTGCCGTTCTTGTGTGGAAGTATTTGAGACATGGATTGTTCTGTTAAGACGCCTTTCAAATTCATCGCATATTTCAAATTGTTGAAATTTCAGATCACCACGCTTCGGAATCTTGACTCCATGCCAAACAATTAAACTAGCCTTTGGAATTTACGGTAATCTTCTATACGTATTTATAACATAGCAATTAATTTGTCACGAGAGACATTTTTTACACTGCCGCGGTACACTTTTGTGGATCACAAACAAAATATTTATTAGTATCTTGCCACAGTACGTTATTCGGTTCCGTAACGTAGTTGGAATGCAAACGAAGCACTATTTTCGTTTCCCGTTTTCATACGCGGGACACTTTTGGCCCGCAAACGAACTGGAACATACGAAATTAACACTTACGTGCATGTATATGGTAAGTGCCTTCGACTATGATCATATTTATTAGATCACGAGCAAAAGAAATTAAAAACATTTCAAAACGGAACACTAAGTTACACTACTTTTTCTTTGCACATTTATATCTTCTTCTGGATAATACGGGTCACGGTTTCCGAAATATTTACTAGTTAAATTCTTATTAGCGTGTTCTTTTTATGCGAGTTGTCTCCCTTGCATAATGCTGCAACACACCTGTTTCACAGGTAAACAAACTGAGAAAGCGTAAACTTGTGCATTGCGATGTGTCAGAATTAGAGGAAATCTTACAAAAATGAAATGGAAACATTAAAACCGAACTATTTAGAGAATGACGCCTTAGAAATCAGAGAAAACTTGCGTATCGTCAACCCGTAACTGAGGTCACGTGGTTTGTGACAAGGGCCATTCACACAGTACTGGTGTTAGTTTACATGTTTGCTGTAGTACATGTGTGGTGTTTTATTTGTAAATTCCATGATAACAATGGACATTAGCCGACTGTAAAATGAACGACAGACGTCCCGCACGGTCCAGGACGTCGCCCCTATTACCCTGGGGTACGTGCACAGGTAAGTAATCTCGGGGGACGGGACGGGCGTGTTCCGACTATTTTCGAGGCGTATAGCTAGGTAGTGACCCGTTTGTGGGCTTGACCAATTATGTATATATACATGGCGGCACCCAGAACGTACCTCTCTGTTTCATAAGTTTAAGCGACTAAATTGAATGGATATGTCATAATATATCTGTTAAAACTCGTTCCAGAAAGATCTCTCATACTTTGCCTTATTGACATATAAATATCGCAATAAAAATGATTACAATACAGGTGAAAACATACACAGGTGAGTTTGTTGACACTTTGTGTCAGTGGTATTTCTAGTATGCCCTGTATCACCTGTTTGAGGTTTGACAGTTTTCTCGTTATTACTAGCCCAATAAAATGTTGATGTGTAATGAGGAGAATACATCAATTTTTCATCCACATGTATATATGTGTATTTTGTTCCACACCTGTATATGATGTACCTGCCATATCACATTATTTACCTGTAGTGTAAGCCTGGGTGGATGTGTCATAGTTTTGTAACAAATTCTTTGGGTATGATCCACATGATGTCTGTTTATTTTACATAGAAATTTGTTTATGCCCACATGTTGGATATCTTAGATAAACAAATTGACAGTGAAATTGATTTTTGATACACATTTAATATTTTGATGTTGTACAACCAAGTAAATATTAATTTTGTATTTTTCAGTACAATTTGTCGAGGGGTGGGATTAAATACATCTAGATCTAGAGTGAAGTTTTAGTATGAAGTATTGAGAACAGTGTTTGTCAATATGAACAAGTACATTTTGTACCTTAACATCAAATATCACGTCAGTGATGGTATTTTGGCTCTGTAAGATATGGTATATGTTGTACATACTATGTAGCATGATTTTTTCAGATAAATATATAAAAACATGCTATAGATCTGTGATTTTTTTCTTGAAAAAATAATTATCAATCTGTTATGAATATCACATTTTGACAATAAACATATCATTTTTGTTTAAAAGTTTGAAAAAAATGTGTTTATACTAACAACGCTTGATTTATTGTCAGTTCCAAACAATGCAGTCAAATTCATTAAAAGTGTTGTCATTATGTGTGAGAGTACCAGTAAAAGTGGGCGTTGTCCATTTTCTGAGATTCCCAGTAAAAGTTGGCATTGTCCTTTGTCTGAGAGTACCAGTAAAAGTGGACATTTTCCATTGTATGAGAGTACCAGAAGAAGTGGGCATTGTCCATTGTCTAAGACTCCCATTAAAAGTGGGCGTTGTCCTTTGAGAGTACCAGTAAAAGTGGGCGTTGTCCTTGATGTCGGACAGGCTACAAGTTTAAGTTGGTATCGTCCATTTGTCTGAGAGTACTAGTATAAGTGAGAGCTGTTCATTTCTCGGAGAGACTTAAGAGGGTATTGTACTTATATTTTCGTCTACCATTATATCTGAGAGTACCAGTATAAGGGGGCATTGTCCTTAAATCTGAGAATACCTGTTTTAAGTGGTGTTGTACTGAAATCTGACGGTATATATTGCATGGGTAGTCTCTTATAATCATAAAAGAAGAAGAGCAGAGAGATATTACTTAAATGTGTTAACAAAAACTTTATCAGGAAAAAGATGATCATGAAAATTTTATCTTATGCATATAAGGAAATGCTTTTTGGTTTTATTAATATCCTAAGTAGGACCAGGTTGCAGAGGTGTTATCTTGTTACATTAGAGAAGTTATGGGCTGGCTTAGGTTTTTTATACAGTGTTCAGGGAAGTATTGTGAAGTACAAAAAAAATTACATCAAACAACGCTGCCAGCTGTACTTATTGATAACATTGAACCTGTTGATTGATGGACAATATTAGACTTGACAATAGATTATACAATTTAGGTGTATAAATAGGTTTGGCTTTATACAGGTAAATACTGATAGGATATAACAAATAATAGGAGTCATTTAAAAAAATTTAAAAAATAGTATAAAACAATGCCATTTTAAAATCATGTAATTCAAGAAATGACATGTGTGTCATAAAAATAGGCTGAATTAAAGTTATCAAAACTAAGAAACATTTACATTTAAAAGTAATTAATGATATCAAAACTAAGAATGTTTACCGTAAATAACAACATGAAATTTGAAAAGATTTCATATCTCAGTTTCCAAACAATGGCATGCTGGGGTGATATTGCCTATTGCTGTACTCATGATAAGCTATTGTGTTTCATATACACCGCCTGTATGTAGGATAAGCTATCTGATAGCATCTGTCCGTCAAATATTTATATTTATGGTAAATGTGCTAAGATTCCTGCCTGCTTCATTATTTCTGTAAATCTATGCGTATATTTGCTGGTCTCATTGTCTTAACAGCAGCCAGGGTCTCATCGAGGCAGGCCCCCTGGTAGTATTTGGTAGCTATGTCACTGAACCACATACAGGAGGCCCATCGTTTCCTGTCATGACCCCCAAGAATGCTGTATATGTCCACAAAATCTGTATAGACTTTATGATCACACGTGATACAAATAATTATGCTGGTTATATTTGATCTTGGCCCAAATGTTTTGTTTCAGCTCACCAGAAACTTAAATATAAATAATTTGACTGATATTGTTTCATAAAGCTCACACACAATGTAAACTTGATGGTGCTATATTTAGATAGGTTAACCATTCCTACTTAAATTATTGGCAGGTTCTATTCAAAACATGACAGATTACATTTGTATGTGTCATAACAGTTAAGAATGATACAACAGGAGTAAGAAATATGTCAGAATTTTCATGTCGATACGTCAAAGAATCAAAAGAAAATTTAAATCATCTAATAATTATCTTCGCTAAAATTTTAAATCAGAAAAACCAAAAATTGTTGATTTGTATGTTTGTCAAGTTTTGATATATATATAGGCCTGGCAATCTTGTTAATTACCATGATATTCATGTATCAGTTCCCCTGAGGATAATAATTAATTATCATTGTCATAATGAGGACTGTGTAATAATTATACATGGGTAAGATCTATTTATATAAAAAAGTTTTATCAGAATTGTGAAATAAAATTTGGAAAACAATTGAAGTCAAAATCATAACTCAAGTTCAATGTAGTTTATTCTTTAATATAAGTGATAGGTACCATAACCTTGGAAATTTTTTTTTTTGGGGGGTGGGGGGGGGTGGAGGGGTAAATGTTGTGATTTCTATGTGTAAACTATACATGTGGGGGCTATTTTCATGACCAATTTTCATTTCATTTTGTCTATAAAATTTAAGCACATCACAAAATAATTATATGTGCGGGTGAAATTTTCGAAATCTAACGACCTTTGCGTATAGGCGTGATATTTCCCCCTCGCATAAATTTCCATGTTTATTGTATGTTTTTATTATAAAAACATATGCAATAAGATCACATATAAGTCATTATTTCTTTATATAATCACATATTAGAGAACTACATGAAACACTGCTCTCAATAAACTAGAGGACTCTACTTCAAAGGAGCATGCTATTGACTGAATTTACATGAGGTCAAACAATCTTTAGAATCATATACAAAATCTGACTGAAAAGAAACAAAATGGCAACCTTACAACAAGCGGTCCTAATTTTGTACACTATTGAACATTTCTGCCTGATTTGATTTTGATTCAGTTTAAGTATGTTAAAGATATTCCAATTATGTCTTTCTTGTGATAGGTTGTCTATACATGTAGATAACACTTGGTGATTTGAGATATTCAACACAAGTCTCATATTGTGTCACTGGTATTGATATGTTTTATTCATGAAATGTTTGTACCTGTTCAAGGGTAGTTTAATTTAATTTACACTTTTAAATGCAAGTAAAGGCTTCAGGTGTTTGTCGCTGTTTATGCCTAAATCTGGATGTTTTAAGGCTATCGTGATCATCTGTAGAAAAACATGTATTGACATACATGTCAACTAGCAAAATCAGCCAGTAGTTTGATGATTACAAAGCAGTTTTCGCTGATATTTTTCATTATCATGACTCATCCCTGTCTGAATTCGATGAAAAATGGAAACTAAAAATAGATTTTTTTTTATAAATCTGTTAAGACATTGATAGTTTTCAATTCCTTGAAGAATATTGTCTTAAATTGTAGACCAGGAAGTCATAGTGAATGGTTTGTTGTCTTTATATATGTAGAAAAATATGCTATTAATCAAATAAGGAAAGATAAGACTATAAGGAATATTAGCTGTGGTAGACTGTATAATTTCCTGTACATTGTGTATTTCTATAATTTATTTATTGAAAGACAGTGAAAACAAAATTAAATTTATTTAAGGCATTAAATGATTGTTCCGTGATTAAGACATGAATGAATAAGAGATAAGACAAGAATGAAAAAGAGATAAGACATAACATATACATCTTGATATGTACAGGTGAACTGGTAAGGGATTTTTAGATTTAAAATGAAAATTGATTGACTTACATTGAAATAATCATATGATTATGTATGTGGGGGCCGTGATAGCTCATTTAGTGAGAGTGTTCGCTATGCAATTGCAAGTGCAAATCTAAGGCAGGTTTTTTGACAGACTCGAAAATTGTACAGATGACTCGGGTTCATCATACATTGTACAGGTGATCTCAGACTCATCATACATTGTACAGGTGATCTCAGACTCATCATACATTGTACAGGTGACCTCAGACTCATCATACATTGTACAGGTGACCTCAGACTCATCATACATTGTACAGGTGACCTCAGGCTCATCATACATTGTACAGGTGATCTCAGGCTCATCATACATTGTACAGGTGATCTCAGGCTCATCATACATTGTACAGGTGATCTCAGGCTCATCATACATTGTACAGGTGATCTCAGGCTCATCATACATTGTACAGGTGATCTCAGACTCATCATACATTGTACAGGTGATCTCTGGCTCATCGTACATTGTACAGGTGATCTCTGGCTCATCATACATTGTACAGGTGATCTCTGGCTCATCATACATTGTACAGGTGATCTCTG